TGCCGCACTTTGTGGCGACTCTTCTTCCACACAGCACGACCTTTCACTCGGGCCTTTCAACAGTCCTGGGGAACAGCTTTCTCTAGTTTTTCTCCAGCTGCTTTTCTCTGGGCCAAGAACAGGTTTTCCTTCAGGTTTTAGCTCTCAGGACGCAGTGTGTCGGAAACGTGCATGACACTGCTTGAACAACGGGCCAGAACACACGTTCTTCAAAGACCTTCATTAGGATGAGTGCAAAAATATGTTCGGGGGGAAAAGCTCCATTTCCACTGGTCATTCTTTTTGGAAAGTAATTTGTAGTAGAAATCTTACAGAGCTGTACTTTTATGTAAACATGAATGGCAAGAAAGAAAGAAAAAGCAGTGAGAAGCCAGAGAAGAAAGAAACATATTGTGATAGACCAGAAAGTGTTCTATTTTTTGTTTGTTTTTAATCCAAAGACCCCCCTCCATGCTGCGGGGTGCCCATGCCTGACCTGGGGCCAAGTTGTGTTCGTGTCCTTGGACCCTGTACAGCCAAATCCTGTAAAACCCCAAGAAGACCCTGATTTATGAAGGGGCCTCCTTCTCTGCCAGTGATTATCTCACACATTCAGGGGCCAGGCCCAGCCAGCACAATGGACTTTAGCAATTAGTCTCACATTGTATGTATAAGTCACACAAAATATACTGTAGCTGTGAATATGGACTGTGGACCCCCATTTTCTGCTCTCTGGTCTAAAGCAAAAAAGCTGATTCCTATCCAAGCATGGACCAAGCTATCGGACAAAGCACCAACACCTCAGGAAACGAGAGGCCCACTATGAACAGAAGCCATACTGAATCAGGGTGGAGTATGCCCCCAGAACCTGACAGCCATCGGGCTTAGAGCTGCCACTAGATAAATGATTTTGGCATGAATGGAGTAGAATGGCATTTTCTTTTTTTGTTAATCCTCACCCAAGGATATTTTTCCTTTGATTTTTAGAGAGAATGGGAGAGAGGGAGGGAGACAGAGGAACACTGATGTGAGAAAGACACATCAATTGGTTGCCTCCTGCACAACCCTGACCAGGTCAAGGATCTGTAACCCAGGTAAGGTGCCGTTGGCCGGAATCAAATCCGCCACCCTTTGGTCCATGGGCCAATGCTGTAACCGCTGAGCCAAACTGGTGAAGGCTAGAATGGCATTTTCAAGAAAAAAGGAAGGGGAGATGCCCTGGCCGGTTTGGCTCAGCGGTTAGAGCATCGGCCTGCGGTCCGGAGAGACCCGGGTTCGGTTCCCGCTAAGGGCACGTACTTCGGTTGCAGTTTGTCCCCGGCCCTGGTCGGTCGTGCGGGTGGCAGCCACTCGATGTGTCCCTTTCACGTCGATGTTTCTCTCTCTCTCTCTTCCTCTCTCTCCCTCCCACTCTATCTGTACAAAAAATGGAAAAAAATGTCCTCGGGTGAGGAAAAAAAAAGGAAGGGGAGAGAAGGTAGGATAAAGAGACCAGGATGAAAGAGAAGCTGGACTTTAGCAGACATTAATCTGGTCCCATAAGGGTGCGCAAAATTCCAAAAGTTCAAAGACAAGATGGAGGAGCCTGCTGGGGGCAGCTATACGATGCCTTGACTACATTCCTAGCCTGGAGGGTCCTCAGCACTCCTGGTTGGCTGCACCCAACAGTGCAGCAGCTATTCCAATCCTCGCTCGCCACTCGCCCCACAGCTTCTCTTCTCCCTCTTGAATCTTCAACAAACACACCCCACCCGCCTTCAGCTTTAAAATGGCTCTATATGGCCTCATTCTCTCTTTACTAGCCCCATCTCCCTCCAACAACTATCTTCTCTGCCATTCTCCCCCTGCAGCTGCACACAGACTTTCGACCTCACCTCTCCACTCACTCATTTACTAACAACCCCCAAAGGACTAAGTCCTAAATCCTAAAAGACTAAGTCTTCTGACTTGACAACCTCACTTCTCCACTGAAAAGTCTCTCTCAGCTTCCTCAACAGGAATGCCACCTTCCTGGAGTGCCTCCCATCTCTCTGCCTGTCCTGTAAGTGGAGGTACTATTCCCTTCTGTCAATGTTCCACACTGGTGCCCCACAAAGCCACATCTCCAGCCAGGGTGCTCTTGGAGCTGCCAAGTCCTTGGAGTAAACTCCCCACTGGGACTACCACATGGGGGCCTCAAGTCCACCTGCCCCCACACCAGCTTCCTGGGTTCCCCACGTCAGTGAGGGACATGACCATCCGCTCAGACACCTAAGCAGATTGCCCGACCATATCCTGTCCCTTAGTTCTTCCCTTCCCTGCTGACACTGCTGTTGCTCAGGCCCTCATCATTTCGCGCTCCTCACTGAATCAATGCCTTCAGTCTGAGTTAGGGGCGCAAGCTGGTGGGAAGGATGGGTGCTGAGGCTTTACACAGCACTTTATATAATTGACTAAAAAGCCTTTAATAGTCTGTATCAGAGTAGGAAGGGCAGAGATAATGGCGATCACAGGGGGCTAAGCCCTAGGCCTCCGACTCTAATTCCCCCCTGCCTGGCTCTACCACTGCCTCTCCCCATCTCCCATCAACCAACAACTTAGCTGTCAAAGTGGTCTTTCTGTGACAGGAATCTCACATGTCTGGTCCTGCACAAAACACTGATGGATCCCTGTCTCTCTTCCCAAACTCCACATCCCAGAAGCTTCCCTCACAAGCATTCACAATTCCACTCCTTTGCCTATTCCATTCCCTCTACCTGATGTGCTCACCCCCCCACCCCCCACCCTGGCCAATCTCATCCTTCTCCACCTTTCATTCAAAGAGCATTTGCTTTAGATCAAACTGGCTCCTTATCACAGATCAGGAAGGGTTCAACAGTACTTTATTTATTTTGTAATCCTCGTCCAAGGATATGTTTTTATTGATTTTAGACAGAGAGGAAGGGAGAGAAAGAGAGAAGGAGAGGCAGAGGCAGAAGAGGAAGAGGAGGAGGAGGAGGAAGGAGGAGGAAGAGGAAGAGGAAGAGGAAGAGGAAGAGGAAGAAGAAGAAGAAGAAGAAGAAGAAAAGAGAGAGAGAGAAACATAAAACGGTTGCCTCCCATATGTGACCTGACTGGAGACTGAATCCACAAGAAGAAGAAAACGAAGAAGAAAAGAGAGAGAGAGAAACATAAAACGGTTGCCTCCCATATGTGACCTGACTGGAGACTGAATCCACAACCTGGGTATGTGCCCTGACTGGGAATTGAACCTGCCACCTTTTGGTGTAGGGGACAACGCTCCAATCAATAGAGCCACCCGGCCAGGGCAATACCAGCACCTTTTATTATCCTTATACAAAAATCATTCTTTGAACTGATATGACATAGCACAATGATCACTACAAGGTCTCCTTTTCAAAAGAGACGTTTCTCAGGGTAAACCAGTGATTTATCTTATTTTGCACCCGTGATTCTTTTATCTACCACCACAGTAACTGCATCTAAGAAAGATCCAACTCTGCATCCTTTCAAGGCTCCCTGGCTAGCTACTCTTTCCCAGGCACATCCTCCCCCTGGGAAACCTGTTCTGGAAGAACTGGGAACATAACCCTCACAGGTGTTTGTTGTCCATCTCTTCTGTCCCTCCCTAGGTCATTTCCTCCAGATGGTGCTGGAGTTCCAGACCTCCACCTGTTCAAGGAAACAATTCAGGGAGGAAATGATGTCCCAGAAAGAGGTAGCAACTTGCAAGAGGCTACAAAGCAATTTTATAGGGTTGGCAGTCAGGATCCAGGGCCCTAGGACTGAGATCTAGTGATTCCCAGGCCCTGCCTCCTTCGGCAATTCCATGGCCTGTGATCCTCTGTCCCAAATGCCACACATAATTAGAAGTTATACTCCTGTAATTCCATGATGACATCTTTGAACTTAAATATACCTTAAAACTACTCTTTTTTTAAAATGCTAAAAGCAATCCACTTGAAAAAAATTTCCCACTCTGTTCTCACCTGTTTCGATTCCCCTCGAGTCCTGCCCATCCCCTGGGGCCACTGCTCCTCACCAGAAAGCAAAAGCCTCACAAGGAAGGAGGAAGATGCCAAGTCCATCTGCCACTGGATCATTAGGCTTTGAACAATTAAGAATTGATTGCTCTGTGGGAAATAGTTTCACTTCCCTATTTATAATTACACACTCTACCTTCGGTCATATGTCTTATAAAAAAAACAACAATCTCTCAACCCACCTAGTTAAACCTGGCCAAGCGCCAAAAGCTATTTTTAGACTGGTGGGGACCTGCAAGGAGGTAGAGTGGAAGGTGTCTTTGTGACTCAAAAGCATCTTTGTAGCCCAGGCCTCGCCACCTGCGGGCACCCAAGCACCCCCTCTCCGCGGGCTGGGGTCGTTTTTGAGGGACTGGGCTGTGTGGGCTGCTCTCCCCAGGGCAGGAGGGCTGTGTGTGTGCCGGGGGTCGCCTGGACGTGCCAAGTTCCCGCGAAGCCCGCACTCGCCGCGAGTTTCTCCAACAATCAAAGAAGTCAGGTTTGCCGCGCTCACGCCCTCCTGGGCAAGTTGGGGTAGGAGAGGGGGCGACGCCCGAGGTCACCTCCCACCAGCAGCTCTCTCCTGCCCTCTAAACAGTCAAAGACGCGGATACTGGAAGCATTCTAGAGGCAAAAAAGGACCGCCAAGCCGCCTGGAGCGGTCCTTCCATCTCCACCCGTGGCCCGCCGAGCTCTCGGGTCCTAATGCGCGGCGAAGAGGAGAAACGGATCCCTTCCCCAGGCCCACCCTCCCCGCCCCATCCTCTGCCCGCACCTGCGCGGGGCGGCCCCAGGCGACCCTTCCCCCTTCCCAACTCCGGAAGCCACCTGCTCTCGGCGGCCGGGTACACGACAGCCCCACCCCTCCTCACCCCCAGCCTCACGCCCGCCCGCCCTAGGCCAGCGCGCCCCCTCCCCCTCCGGCCTGGTCGACCCCAGCCGCGATCTCCCGCAGTCCCCTCCAGAGTCTGGGGGAAAGGTCTGCAGCCCGCAGCTCGCCGCCCGCCCGAGGCCACCAACCTTCCGAAAGTAGCCGTCGTCCTTCTTCTCCAGAGGCTGGGGGGCCGCGGGAAGCAGAGCGTCAGTCATGCTGGCGGCACGGGCAGGGAGAGCCGACTGAGGCTGAGCAGCCGCTCCAGCCCCAGAGGGCGCCCTGACCCGCCCCGCTCCGCCCCGCCCGCGCGGCCGCCCAGCCAGCCCCCTTCGCCCGCCCCCGGGCCAGGCCCGGAGCCTTGGAGACCCAGCCAGGCGCGCCGAGACCACGCCCCGTGCCCCGCCCCGGCTCCTGATTGGCGGGGCGGAACCGGCGCCCCCGGCGGGAGGCTGGCCGCGCGGAGCGCTGGGACCCCCTGAGCGCGTCGTTCGCGCTCTCCAAGCCTCGGGGACCTAATCTGGGCGTCGTGGCTGCCCCAGCCCTGCGGTCCAGGGAGGGGCCGGGGTCTCCGCAGCTAGGCCCAGGCTGGGGACCCGGCCCCTCGTCTGGAGCCGTGGGGGTAAATGCAGCGAGCTAGGTAAAGTCGCAGCTCCTCCCCGGAGGAGCGCAGATTCCAGCGCAGGTGATCAGACCTGACGCCACGTCAAAAGCGGGGCTGGAGCGCTGGGCTCTGGGCCAAGTGGTCCCGGACAGCTTGTCGCCGGAAGGGACCCCGGGGCCGAGTCCGGGGCGCTGAGTGAGAGTTGGCTGCACTACCGAGGGCCTTGTCCGGGTGACTCAGACCGGTTGGCGCGGTGGTCGACTCCCTGTCCCCCCACCCTCGCTGCAGAGACTGGCGGATCCGCTGGGAGATGCAGACGGCCCTGGGAGATGGGGTCCGCCCATGAAAGGATCCCCAGAAAGGGTTTTGCGCCTGACTCAGCGGACGCTCTTGAGCATGTTTTTAAACCACCACTTCAAACCTCAGTTTTCTCAACTACAAATTGGGGCCCGGCCACCCTCTCTTTGGGTGGTCGAAAGTATTACAACCAAAGTGCGTGTTAGAGCTCATAGCTAGGTGGCGGGACGCGCCTGGCTTAGCCAAAGTGGGACTTTGGAGACGGGGTTCGCACTACTTTCTCACCCGCCTCCGGCTGACAGTAGACTCCAGACAGATGCTTGACAGAACAGGGCCCCAAAACCTGGCGCCGGAGCCCGAAGACCCCAGTGGAAGGGTAGGAGTGGGAAGGCATGCCCCTCCTGGCCACCGTCCTGGAGTTATAAAACCCAGTTGCCATTACGTTTGGCGGGTCGCGATGGATGCCACAGGTAGAACAAACCAATCTACTTTCAAAACAAGCCAAGCGTTTACTTCTCTTAAAAAATAAAATAAAAAAATTTAAAAGGAGGTGCGTTAGGAGTTTGAAAGTTTTAAAATAAAGAGTAGCAACGACCAAGTAAATGTCAAAAAAAAAAAAAAATCCACCCGTCACTGCTAATACCAAGATGCTGCACAAGAAAAGGCGTTTCCAAGAAGGACAGTGTTAATTTTAAGAAAGAACCTGGAGAACCCCGGCGGGAGGAGGGGAAGGGGTTGAGGGATTGCAGGCTCCATCCCTGATAGGGGGCGTGCAGGAGGTAGCCTATTCATGTTACGCTCTCGCATCTATATTCTCTCTCCCTTTTCCTTCCTCTTTCTCTAAAAGTCAATAAAAATAAATATATTCTTTAAAGAACCTGGAGAGTTTTAACCAGCTCAGCACTGGGACAGGTGTATGGGAAAACTAGCAGATGCAAAAAACTTTCCTTCTCTCTTAGGGTCAGAAGTTATGAGTATCAAGCTAATTTTATCATGTCAGTCATCCTAATTGATCCATTGCCCTGTAAACATACCACCCCCGTGAGGGATGGGGGAAAAGATTAACCAAAGACCATATATGCATAGATTCAAGAGGAGAAGACATAGACTTCACTTCTTGATGGAAGACTTGTCAAACAATTTGGGGGCTATGTCTTTTTTTAAATTATATTTTTTCTTTATTGCTTTCAGAGAGAGAGAGAGGGAGAGGGAGAGAGAGATAGAAAATCGACTGATTGCCTCCTGCATGCCCTCTACTGGAGATCCAGCCCACAACCTGGGCATGTGCCCTGACTGGGAATCGAACCAGCAACCTCTTGGTGCATGTATCAATGCACAACCACTGAGCCACACCAGCCAGGCTTGGGGCTATGTCTTAAAACCTGTTTTGTTTTTTTAACTTTTGAGGTTATTTATTTTTAATCATCTCCCTAGGGTATGTTTGTTTTGTTTGAGAGAGAGAGAGAGAGAGAGAAATGTCAATTGGTTGCCTCCTGCATGTGCCTGACCAGGAATCAAACCCGCAAACTAGGTATGTGCCCTGACCAGGAATCGAACCCACAACATTTTGGTACATGGGATGATGCTCCAACCAACTGAGCTACCTTGCCAGGGCCTCATTCTTATTTTCCAAGTTATTTACTGAATACTTACTATCTGCTAATCACTATTCTAAGTTCTGGGATACAGCAAAGAAAAAATCCCTAGTCCAAATCTATGTTCTTGTGGAGTTTACATTCCAATGGAGAAAGACAATAGATACAATAAGATAAATAAAATATATAGTGTGTTAAAGATAATAAATGTTGTGGAAAAATATGAAGTAGATTGAGGGAGGGAGGGAATGTAGCAGATAGGGACTGTTTTTAAAATAGGGTCAGAGAAAGCTTCACTGAGAGACTAACCTTTGAGCAGAGACCTGAAGAAGGTGAGGCAATGAGTCATGTGGTATCTGGGAGAAGAATATTCTCAGCAGAGGGAATAGGGACTGCAAAAGCTCCGAGGTCAGATGAGTTTGGAGTGCTCAAGGAATAGCCCCACTCCTAGAGATTCTGATTCAGGAGGTCTGGGGGATGGGTGGGAGGGACATTTTAACAGCATCCTGGTGATTGATTCACGTAGTTTTCTGACCCTCATTTTGAAAACTTGGCCTTCCAGGTCTGATTTTCAGCTCAGCCTTACTCCTTACTAGCTGAGCTTCATTTTTCTCTTCTGTAAAGAGAGTTTGGGGGTAGGATAACAGCACCCCATTTGACAGGTGTCTGTTTCTTTAGCTTTAGTGAGGGACCCCTCAGCATCCCCCACCCACCTCAGAGCAACCTTTTGCTTCCCTGCCTGCTTTTAATTTCCCCTTTTTGGTTTCCTTTCCCTTTTCAGGTTTTTCCTTTTCTCTCTCTCTATCCCCCCTCCCTTACCCTTTCTTTGCCTCTTTTTCTTTTATTCTCTTGTTTATTTTTCTCTTTGCTCAAGTGTGGTCCGGAGCTGCCTTCGCCACGAGCATCATCGGGGTTTCCGCGTCTGTGCACCCCTCCAGAGATCTGGAAGGGGACTCCACCTATGCAAACCTAAGACTGCACTACACCGTGTGCGTGCATCTGGAATCACAGGGACTTTCCCCGCAGGTGCTGGGGTGGCACTGAGGGGAGCAGTGTCTGCTGGCAGGAGAAGAAGGGGACCCCGCCCTGAGGCCCACAACCGGGTGGTTTCCAGCTTCTCTCAGTCGGCTTCCAGGGTGGGCTGTTGTGTCTTCCGAAGTCTCCCAGGCAACGCCTGCTGGAGTCCGCCTCCCGCGGACGAGTATGGGAAACCCTAGCTGCAGAAGAGCGGGCAAAGCGGAAGGCTTTTGGCCTGTCTAGGCCTCCGTAGCTAGGGGGCGGGGCCCGGAAGGCAGCAGGATGGCGGCACTGGATAGTGACAGCGACGAGGACTTGGTCAGCTATGGGACAGGCTTGGAGCCCCTGGAAGAAGGTGCGAGCCTGTGGAAAACAGGCCGGGGGCTCAGGATTCGAGGCGACACGCATAACGCTGTGCCGGGCCGTGGCTGGCCCAGGGCCTAGACGCCTCACTAGGGGCGCTGGGGACAGCGATGAGAGAGAGGCGTGTGCGCCGCTTTCGGGGTGCTCACGTCTGGAGGGACGGAGGAGAGTCTCAGAGGGATGGGGAATAGAAAGCTGACGAAACAAGCTTGTGTGAGAGCGGGGCTTGTGGGGGGTGTCAGGCAATGTCTTTACTAGGAGAGCACGTTCGAGCTCAGACTTCAGAGGAAGGAACCAACCCTACGAAGATCTGGGGGGAAGAGCGTGTCAGAGCGGACAGCGAGTGCAGAGGGTCTGAAGTCGGAGCCAGTTTGGCAGATTGAGGGACAGGCAGGACTGGCGTCGGTGGAGCAGAGAGTTTGGGTTTGTATACGAAGTGTAGGCGAGTCCTTGGGGAGTTTACACAAGTGAGAGATGCCTATTTTAAAGATTGTTCTGTCGATTTAGAACAGGGGTCGGGTTGGGGGTGCGCAGGAGGGAAGCAGGGAGACCAGCAAAAAGAGGGCGGGAGATGGTGATGGCTGGGACTGGAGTGTTAGCAGTGGCGGTGGGAAGTACTGTTCTGGGTGGAGATAGACGCTGAAAGCAGAGCTGACCAGACTTGCTGGTGGAATGTAGAGGAGGGCAAAATGAAGAAGGTTCTCTCCCATGTTTTGGTCTGATCCCCTTAATGACTTGATATGTTCAGCAAAGAATGTATTGCATGCCCAGTAAGGACTGATGGCAGTCCTCCCTGTGGGAAACACAAAGGAAGCATGGTAGGCTAGGAGTTACTTGCAGACCTCCTGTTGGTGAGATCTTTTTCCTACACTGACCACATCCTAACAGGCTGGTTGTACTTCTGGGACAATTCCACTGATGACCCTTTTATTTCCTATGAACAGTTCTAATCACTAGAAACTTCTGCCATATACTGGTCCTGCTTCCATTCTCTGCTTACAAAAGAGAAAGGCTAGTCTCCTGAAAGCTTTTTTTTTTTAAATCCTCACCTGAGGATATTTTTTACATTGATCTTCAGATAAAGCTGGAAGGAGAGAGGGAGGAAAAGAGAGAGAGAGAGAGAAACATTGCTCACGTGAATTGGTTGCCACCTGCACAACCTCAACCAGGCTGGGGATAAACGTGCCCTTGACCTGAATCGAACTGGGACTCTTTGGTCCTTGAGTGATGCTCTAACCACTGAGCAACCGGCCAGGGCCGAGAATATTTTTTCACTGATTTTCAGATAGAGTGGGAAGGAGGGAGAGACAGAGGGAGAGAGAGAGAGAGAAACATTGATGTGAGAGAGACACTCCAATTAGTTGCCTCCCACACAACCCCAACCAGGGCCAGGGATCAAACTGAAACAGAGTTGTGTGCCCTTGACCAGAATCGAACCCATGACTCTTTGGTCCATGAGCAGATGCTCTAACCACTGAGAAAAACTGGCTAGGGCCAGTTTAATTGATTTTTTTTTTAGAGAGAGAAGAAGGGAAAGGGAGAGAGAGATAGAAACATCATGTGAGAGAGAAACATCCATCAGCTGCCTTTTGCATGTCTACCACTGGGGAGCGAGCCCGCAACCCAGGCATGTGCCCTGACTGGGAATCGAATCGGGACCTTTCAGCCCATGGGATGATGCTCAATCCACTGAGCCACACTGCCCGGCCAGTCTAAGATTACATTAGCTTCACTGACAAATACATCACCCCATGATCTCAAAGAGTTTGTTGGCAAAGATCTTCTGTTTGAGGAGTTTCAAATTTAGTTGAGAGCTGTCGACTTGTAGAGAGTTTTTTAAGAGTTTGTTATTTTGAGTCAAACAGGTGATACTCCTGGAAGTAAGATCACAACAGACTAAGAAAAATGCCTCCCAAAATTAACAGTTTACAAGTTTTTTTTTTTAAATGCATTTGGCCCTGGCCGATGCAGCTCAGATGATTGAGCAAATCCCATGTACAACCAAAAGGTTGCCAGTTCGACTGGGCAGGGTGGGTATGGGAGGCAACATGTAGTCTCCCTCACACTGATGTTTCTCTTTTTCTCTTCCTCTCCCTACCTCTCTCTCTACAATCAATAAAAATATATTTTAAAAAAAAGTAAAAATGAATTTGGAATTAAAGAGGGGACCTAAGGAAGATTAAATGAAAGTAAGAGAGAGCAAGGTGGAGATTAGATTACAGGGTAGTAAGATTAAGTGCTCCCTTGAGGGTGGTTTTACCTCTGAGGGGTCTGAAAAAGACTGGCATTTCAAAAATGTGTTAAACTAGATGCACAAAAACAATGGGTAGGGCTTGCTTAAGGCAAAGATAAATCTTTTTCTAGAAAAGTTATATGCCTTGGGTGTGACTACCCACCATGACCTACCTACCTGTTAGGAATTTATGTTTACATCGCCCTGTGATGTCACTGGACTTGTCAGATTTATTGCAGAACCCCCTTTTTATCCACAGATCAAAGGTACAAGGTTCACAAGTGCGAAAGTATGTGATGGTAGACAGGAAATAACCTATGCACGCTAACAGGAACCTCGAGAAGGTAGCACGGGATCTTTTGGAAACTGGTTAGAATATAGCTACACAGGAAGAGGGCAAGGGTTAAACATGCATGGGTGGTACTCATTATAACCACAATAGGCAGCTGTTTGTATATGTTCTATAGTTCTGGCCTCACAGTTATTTCCTTGTGAGGTGACGTATTGTATGTAAGTTATCAACTGCTTGAACCTATATTTTTCTAAATCTTCCTGTATGTATGTATGTATGTATTTATTTATTTATTATTTTTTAAATCCTCACCCGAAGATATTTTTCTTTTTGTTCGGATAGAGTGGGAGGGAGAGAGAGAGAGAAACATCGATGTGAGAGAGACACATTGACTGGTTGCCTCCCACAGGACCCCGACCAGGGCCGGGCCGAACGGAAACCGGGGTACGTGCCCTTGACCGGAATCGAACATGCAACCCATTGGTCCGTGGGCTGACACTCTAACCACTGAGCAAACCGGCCAGGACTATATCTTCCTGTTTTGATGTTTCACAAAATCTGAAATGAAGCCTAGTGGTCTAACCTTGCTTTCAAAGTGGAAGGAAGGGACATTTGATTTGTAGATTTTGTTTCCCCTGGACTTTAACTTCTCATTATAAGAAGTTTAAAAAAGAAAAAAGAAATATATATATATATATATATATATATAAAATTTTATCTTATTGATTTTAGAGAGAGAGGAAAAAAGAAAGAGAGAAAGAGAGAGAAACATCAGTTTGTTCTTCCACTTAGCTGTGCATTCACTGGTTGATTCTTGTATGTGCTCTGACCGAGGATCGAACCCACAACCTTGGCATATACGGACAGTGCTCTGACTAACTGAACTACTGGCCAGGGCTAGAAGTTTTGAGTATTGGTTCATTTTTTCCTAAGCACTTTGAAGTTTAAATGCACTCCAAGTAGATTTTACATTATAGCATACTAGACCAGTAATCACTTTTGCTTCCTGCTTTGAAGTTTTAGTGACAGGTTAGAACAACATTGTCAGAGGAAGGACTTCACTACTTAATTAAAGTGGCTGGCCCTGATAGAAAGAGTTATTGACTGCAATGTTACACATAGACCCATAGACATCATAGGCCCTCTGGCCTGGAAGGAAGTGGGCGCCCGCGCTTATTTATCTACCCTTTCCTTAGACGCTTTTTTTTTTTTTTTTTAATCCTCACCCGAGGACATTTTTTCATTTTTTGTTCAGGTAGAATGGGAGGGAGAGAGAGGAACAGAGAGAAAGAGAGAAATATCAACGTGAAAGGGACACATTGAGTGGCTGCCACCCGCACGACCAACCAGGGCCAGGGACAAACTGCAACCAAGGTATTCGCCCTTAGCAGGAACCAAATGTGGGTCTCTTGGGACCGCAGGCCAATGCTCTAACCACTGAGCCAAACCAGCCAGGGCTCCTTAGACACTTTCACTTGACTCTAGAATTCTCACCTCCATCTCATCCTGTTACAGTGGGTCTGCCTAGGGCCTGCTGGTAGTGGGTATGTTCTTGACTTCCTGTAGGAAAGATTTCACAACAGGAGTCCAGGTGGCTTATGAGAGTATGTTCATTAAAGCTGGGGACAGTGAAAGAAAGGAAGGGCTTAAGGTAGAAGTGACAGGAGAAAGTGCGAAAAGGGAGGGCCTTGGAGACAGGTTCAGGGGGTAAGCCCAGATCAAGCTGCTGCTACCCACTGCTTCCCCGGTTGCAAGTCTTGTGAGGTTCCTTCAAGTTTAAGAGAAAAATAGCAAAGATACAAGGTGTGGGTGTGCTCTGGCTAGCACATTGTGGATCGTTTGCCTTGAGGCTTTTTTTATCTTTCCTTGGCTGACTGGAATCCTAGGGGAGGTCTAAGGAGAGGGTCTTCACAGAATATTCATGAGCTTTTCAGGTGTGTCCTTCAATATGTTGATTCATCAAAATGTGCGAAGAGTGGGTTATTTTCTGGTTAGTTTTATTTTTAAGGAACATTATTGGAAAGGGAGTGGGACTGAGGCTGGTCTGCCCCAGGATGGTCTGGAATGTGTAAACCATTTGCTCCTAAGTGTCCTTGGTTAGGGAAGATAAAACTGTCATTTATTAGCTGGCTGTACATTGTTCAAATGATATGGCCTTGTCTAATTATTTGTCTTAGAGTCCCCTATTTCACTTGTCAAGGAATTTTCCTAGTTGACTCCTGCCTCAGTCCTGTACAAGGATTAATTTTAGGACCAGTTTCTTCCTCCTTGATGCTGTGACTCTCCCACTTAAAGCTATCTGTGGCTTCCATCACCCACAAGACATACCCCAGACCCTGCAGTACCATGTTCAAAGCCTTCTACATGATCGTCCCTTCTGGTTTCTTTTTTTTAAGTGAAAATTTAAAAAAAATTTTATTTCTTTATTGATTTTAGAGAGAGAGGAAGGGAGAGGGAGAGAGAGGTAGAAACATCGATGAGAGAGAACATCGACTGGCCGCCTCCTGCGTGCCCCCCACTGGGGATCGGGCCCACAACCTGGGCATGTGCCCTGACCTGGAATTAAACTGGTGACCTGTTGGTGCATGGGTCGATGCTCAACCAGTGAGCCACACTGGCTGGGCTTCCCTTCTGGTTGCATCTTCCATTTCTTCTCTGCCATCTAGTCAAACTAGACTACTTTCTCAAAACATCTGACATTACCCTTTTAGGCCTCCTGTTTACTGATGGGATTGTGTCCCTACCTGCAGCTTTCAAATTCTGCTCCTGCCTAGAGTGACTGTGATGCTGTGGTCTTACACATTGTCAGAAGAGTTCCTATACATGCAGGTCTCCTCTGCTGGGCTCCGGGCACCCTGGGAGCAGGGATAGAGTTGTGTTTCATTTTCCATATGCAGGATATAGAACAGGGCTGCTTCCATGTAAGACCCTCAGTAAACTTTTGGTCAGGAATGAGTTAAGGACAGTTTGGGTGGCATCCCTGGCTTGGAGGTAGAGTTGAGATCTGATTTCAGCTTTGTGCTTATTAGCTGTGGACCTCAGGGCAGTTAATGAAAGCATCCTTATCAGGGTATGATAAGTGAGATACTATGTGTGACAAAAAGGGATTAGTTGTTATTAGTAGCAATAATTATAGCAGGGCCTGGCTAAAATGTCACCTTCTCCCTGGAATTTCCCATGCTGTGGTTAGAGGTGGCACCTCCTCAGGAGCCCCGTGGGTGGCCCGTCGTCTGCTGCGGGTTCTGAGTGGTTGTCCGCAGATCTTACCTTCCCTTTCAGATCGGATGCACCTGGAGAACGGAGCAAGAACAGCACCTAGCATTGGCAGGACTACCCTCTCTCTCTTTAACCTGATGACTGTTCCCCACAGCAAAGAAATATCCAGCACAAATTGGCTGTAGGTGCTAAGGCTGAGGAACTCTGACCTTAGCCAAGACTCGTGCCAGGTGCACGTACCCTAATGGAGTGTGTACTGCCTTTTTAAGAAATGGTGAACTTCTTGGATTATGGGTTCTACATTGTAATTCAGTTCTTTAGAGTGAAATGAAATTATAGCTGATTTAACTGAGCTTCGCTAAGATCAGGCACTGTGCATAGATCTCTGAATGTAGTATTTAATCCTCAGTACCTCTCCACAAGGCAGGCTCTGTTGTCACCCTAATTTTGTAGTTTTTGGAGGCTAAGGCTTATGGAGATCAAGTTACTTGCTCAAGTTTACAGAGCTAGCAAGTATTAGAGTTTGGGGATTTGAGCCCGGATCTCCTGGTTTTCAGAACCTGAGCTCTTGACTACCCTGCTGTGGATTCTACTCCAGAAACGACCTAGAGACCTTGTAAGCTACAAGTAAGAATTTGAGACAATGAGACTGGAAGTTCCTTTACTTTTTGTTCCATCTTCCAGAAGTAGTAACTGGCTTAATTATTGAAGTAATAGGTACACATGGACCTTAGGACACATCTTACCTATTGTATATACTAATAATAATTGCTAGTACTTTAAAAATATTTGGTGTGCATCCCTCTTCTTGCTAAGCATTTCACAGGCATTATTTCATTTGCGTAATAAGTCTATGAAATAGTTATTTCTATTAGTGTCATCCCCATTTCACAGATGAGGAAATTGAGGCACAGAGAGGTTAAGATAACTAAAGTCCAGTGCTAGTAAAGATGGAGTTCGTTTTAAAATCCAGAGTGTTGTGACTCAACCCTTTGCCCTAAACTATTGTATAACTTGCTTTCTGTATTGAATGTTTGAAGATGCTTCTTTTTATTTTAAATAGATTCATAATTTTGAATTGGAGTTGATAGAACTTTTAGACTAGGCTAAAATGTATTGAGTTCCTTTCTGCTTGTGTGATGTAGCAACCCAGCCCCTTTCAGCAAAATAGGAAATGGAATACGTTGAAGTAATAGTAACTAAAGAATCAGAAGATTCCCAGAAATAAGGAAACTCGTAAGATTTAGAGAAATAGGCAATACCAAAGGGAAAAATTCTGGAGTCGGGGATGCTATGAAGTTCTAGAGAGATAAAGAAGTGTTTCTTTTATTGCAAACCTCTGCATGCCATGTGCCACCCCAGCAATTTGTCTCCTTCACTGCCCGCACATTTCACTTCCATCTATTTGAACTCTCCTCCTGACCAGTGTAATTCAGTTTTCATAATGGGATTTAGTGGGAAAAGCAGGCCATTTTTTGTTAAAACATGTCTCTAATATAAATAAGAAATATCTATAATTGTTTTAGACCTATAAGGAAGCTTGGTAAAATTGATTGCTTCCTAAGCTACATAAGCTAGTGAAGCCTAGGAATAGGATCTTAATTAAAATTATTACATTTGAAGTTAGAGGAAGTGAATAATTCGTCATATTTAAGAAATGACATTTTCCTTAATTTTTTTCCTAATCCACCATCCCCTTTTCTCTTTCTCGTTCAAAATATTTTTTTTTAGGTGAAAGACCAAAGAAACCAATTCCTCTTCAGGATCAGACTGTCAGAGATGAAAAAGGAAGGTATAAACGGTTTCATGGAGCCTTTAGTGGAGGGTTCTCTGCTGGGTACTTCAACACTGTTGGCTCAAAAGAAGGTATGATTTTCCTACTTGTAGCTGTAATATTGCTAAAGCAAGTGATTGAAATATCACAAGATTCTTGCCTCCCCACCTCTCCCTTTTTATTTTGTTTTTTTTTTTTTAAATATGTTTTTATTTTTTAGCGTGCGCGCGAGAGAGGAAGCATTGATGACAGAGAAACATCTATTGGCTGCCTCCTGCATGCCCCACACTGGGGATCCAGCTCGCAACCAGGGCATGTGCCCTGACCGGAATTGAACCATTGAACCAGCAACCTCATGGTGCATGACATGATGCTCAACTGAGCCACACCATCCAGGGCCCCACCTCTCCCTTTTTTTATCCTCACCCGAGGACATTTTCCATTTTTTTGTTCAGAGAGAGTGGGAGGAAGAGAGAGCAAGAGAGAGAGAGAGAGAGAGAGAGAGACCCATCGACATGAAAGGGACACATTAAGTGGCTGCCTCCAGCACGACCCAATCAGAGCCAGGGACAAACTGCAACCGAGGTATGTGCCCTTAGCGGACACCGAACCTGGGTTTCTCTGGACTGCTGAGCCAAACCAGCCAGGGCCCCACCTCTCCCTTTTTAAAAAACTTTTTATAATGTCTTAGTACATACATTGTACACTTTTGTCATCTCTGAATATTAGGAATGTTTCTGGAGTCAACGTGTGTGTGTGTGTGTGTGTGTGTGTGTGTGTGTTTACCTGAAGATGAAAGAGTTTTTTTCACTTAAAAAAAACTCTAGCCCTGGCTGATTTGGCTTAGCAGTTAGGAGCATCAGTCTCAGACCAAAGGGTTGCAGGATTAATTCCTGGTCAAGGACACATACCTCGGTTGCAGGTTGGATCCCCTGCTCTGGTTGGAGTTGTGCGGGAGGCAACCAATTGATATGTCTCTCTCACATCGATGTTTCTCTCTCTCTCTCCCTCCCTCCCTCCCTCCCACTTTGTCTAAAAGTCAATGGAAAAATATTTTGTGTGAGGATTAACAAAGGAAAGAAAGAAAAAACAAACAAACTTCTAACCGGATGATTAAATGATAACGACTTCCATTTTATATTGCATTTTGCCACACACAAAGTACTTTCACACATATTTACTCAGGTAATAATTGTGTCATACGACTCAGTGTCTAAGGAGGGCAGGTGTCATATTTTGTAGATGAAGCCTTGGAGGATTAGAGCTGCTCTCTCCTGACCTGGGACCAAGCCTCCACTTGTCAGTATATGCTCTTGACCTGGAGGAAAATCTATTAACTTTTTTCACATGGTGCAACACAATATATCTGCATTGATTAAAGCAATGCGTGTTGTTTAATGTTTCAACATAGAAACTGGGAGAAAAATGACTTATATATCACAGATATGAATGGAAGATGAACTGATTAACTCATGTAGGAATTATTAAGAACAAAATAGGGCAGATCTTTTATATATATTTAAGAAAATAATATAATATAGTCAATAATACTGTAATAACTATGTATGGTGTCATATGGATACCAGACTTATTGGGGGATCACTTCATAAATTATATAAATGTCTAACCACTATGCTGTACACCTGAAACTTAATATGATATTGTATGTCAACTATAATTGGAAAATAAATTTATTATTATTGTTATTTTCTTTTGTTAATCCTCACCCGAGGATATTTTTCCATTAATTTTTAGATAGAGTGGAAGGGAGGGAGGGGGAGAGAGAGAGAGAAACATCAATATGAGAGCATAATGTCTATTGGCTGCCTTCTGCACACCTCCTGCTGAGGATAAACCCAAAACCTGGGTGTGTGCCCTGACCCGGAATTGAACCTTTCAGTTCACGGGATGATGCTCAACCAACTGAGCCACACTGGCCAGGGCAGAGTGGTCCTGCCTTTTAAGGTGACCTTGCATCTTTCTGCTGAGATCTACTTGTGTTCCTTTCACAGTTTAACTTTCGACGTATAATTTGATTTCACTGGGTTTCAAATTTTTATGGGGAAGTCTCATTGTATCCACTACATTTTAACAATGGAATATGGGAATTAATAAGTTTATGTGGAATAATTTTGTCTATATGAACAGTGAGATGGGAAGTAGTCAGAAGTTTGTAGTTATTGGGGCTTTCAAGTCCATACATGCTGTTTAGTTATTTAGTTATAAACCAAAATGCCACCTATGATTGTAATGTTCTAAACTCTTTTCTTTCAAGGATGGACACCTTCTTCCTTTGTGTCTTCACGACAGAACAGAGCAGACAAATCTGTTCTTGGTCCTGAAGATTTTATGGATGAAGAGGTGGGTGTGTAGAACTTTAATTGCCAGTTAGTTAGTAGTTGGTTGTTGTAGAGCCTTGTCCTTCCTCAGAAAGTTCAATGTCTGATTTGCTCATTGTATTTAAGACTTTATCTTTTAAGTATTTAGATTATATTGCCCTGTACATCAATGGATTCGTGTTCATCAGAGTAATGTCTTATGCTGGAGGTAGTTTCTAAAGTCGAGAGTATAGGGGAGCCCTGTCCAGATAGCTCAATTGGTTGAGCATCGTCCCGATTCACCAAGGTTTCAGGTTCCATTCCGGTTGGGATACATACCAGAGTTGACCATTACAGTTCTTGGATGGGTGGAGTGGCAAGTCACTGTTTCTCTCTCTCCCTCTCTCCCTTCCTCTCTTAAATCAATAAATTTTTAAAAAAATATTGTAGAGGAAAGTCATATACAGCCATGCCTTGGAGCTGTTACCTGTGGGTTTGGTTCCAGACCCACTGCAATGAAATAAATATTGGGATAAAGCAAGTCATGTGAGTTTTATGGTTTTCCAGTACATATAAAAGTTATGTTTATATTCTACTATAGTCTAAGGGTCAATAGCATTATTTCTTTAAAAATAAGTACATACCGTAATTTAAAAATACTTTACTGCCCTGGTCAGTTTAGCTCAATGGTTAGAATGTTGGCCAGCGAACCAGAGAGACCTGGGTTCGGTTCCCACTAAGGACACGTACCTTGGTTGCAGTTTGTTCCCGGCCCCACTTGGGGTTGTGCGGGAGGCAGCTACTCGATGTGTCTCTCTCACCTCGATATTTCTCTCTCTCTCCCTCCCACTCTAACTGAACAAAAAGGAAAAAATATCCTCAGGTGAGGATTAAAAAGAGAAAAACTTTACTGCTCAAAAATGTTAACCATCATCTGAGGCTATTGGAAAAATGGCACTGATAGATTTGTTCAGTGTAGGGTTGCCACAAACCTTCAGTTTGTAAAAAGTGAATTGTATGCAAAGGATAGCAAAACGAAGTGCAATAAAACAAGGAACACCTGTACAGGAAATTTTACTTGAAAAAGCCTCAGTTGCGCCCAGCTGGTGTGGCTTAGTGGGAGGTCCCGGTTCAATTCCTGGTCAGGGCACATGCCCAGGTTGCGGGCTTGATCCCCAGTGTGGGGGCGTGCAGGAGGCAACTAGTTCATGTTTCTCTCTCTCATCAACGTTTCTATCTCTCTCTTCCTCTCTCTCTAAAAAGTCAATGAATATATATAAAGAACAGCGGGTGACTGGAGAAAGGAGTGAGGAAGCCATGTGCAGGCATCTGGGCACATTGTTAAAGCAACAATGACTGTAAACTTCTCAGGGGTAAATGGAGGCTGGTGGGGGTGGTTCTAAACTGGGTGTGCTGCATTTTGTTTTAAAAGTAAACTCCTCTTAAAACCTAATCATGGATTCATTGTTGATACAGATTAAGTAAAATACTTACATCAGCGTGCTTTAGGCTTCAGGTAAGAGGCAAGGGGAGGTCCCCTTCCTATCTGAGTGGCATAATCCATAAGGAAACATATCTCATGTAACAAGAAGTCTAAATGCCAGCAAGGCCCCAGATTCTCTTCTCAGTCATTTTCTGCATGTCGGCCTGTCCCTGCACTAGATCCCCTCATAGTTTCCAGGGGCACACCCAGGATGATATTATTCAGTGGAAGAGACTTTCTTCTTGATATCTTTTCTTTCTTTTTTAATCCTCACCCGAGGATATTTTTCTATTGATTTTTAGATAGGGTGGGAGGAAGGGGTGGGGGAGAGAGAGAGAGGGGAAACATCTATGTGAGAGAGATGCATTGATTGGTTGCCTCCTGCACAAGCCCTACCTGGGCTGGGGATAGAACCTGCAACTCAGGTATGTGTCCTGATCAGAATCAACCTGAGACCCTTTAGTCCTAGGGCCACCGCTCTAATTGCTGAGCCAAAGGGCTAGGGTGGTATCTTTTCTTTAGGTCAAAGAAACTATTTACATAAATCTTCCAGTGATATTTTCCTCCCATTTGCTTGGACAAATTGTTTTACATGCCTTTAAAAAAAAAATTTATTGATTGATTTTTGAGAGAGATAGGGAGGGAGAGAGAGAAAGAGAAAGGGAAACATCGATTTGTTGTTCCACTTATTTATGCATTCAGTGGTTGATTCTTGTATGTGCCCTGACCATTAAACCTGCAACCTTGGTGTTTGGGGACTATGCTCTAACCATCTGAGCTACCCAGCCAGGGCTACATGCTCATTTCTAAAACAAGGGAACTGGGGTCAAAATGACTGGCTTAGATAAGACATGAACCCCCATTCCCTAACCTTCCCCCACCACAGCCCCCACACAGGGGACACCACTCCAGAGGTGTATGGTGGCACTGAGGAAGGCAGGCACCTGTATAATCTCAGGACTCTGAGGCAAGGGGAAGGGGCAGTGGCTGTTGGACAGGCAGCCAACAGTAAGTACAAAAGCGCTTAACTCAGGGCCTGGCACATAGGTGCCCACGAATGTTTGTTGGCTGTGACTCAGATGTGCACCCTTCGCACTGACCTTTGAAATATTGCCTGAGAAGAATGAGGCCCTTCCTGTTTTCCTAGCTTGGCAGTGCCCCTTGTGACCTTACTGAGTAGCCACTATAATGTCTTTGCTCTTGGTCACTGGCCTTAATTTATGTGAGGGTTCCAAAGTCATTGTGTAAAGTCAGCCGATCCTCTGATCCCAAACTCAGTTTTGTGGAGTTTTTTTTTTTTTGCTTTTTTTTTTTTAAAGAACTAAAGCTATGTGATGTATCATGTTTAATCACTTTTCAAATCATCTAAATAACTTTGTTTAAATTTTTTTTTTTAAGGATCTTAGTGAATTTGGGATAGCACCTAAAGCGATTGTTACCACAGATGATTTTGCTTCCAAAACCAAAGATAGAATACGAGAAAAGGCCAGGCAGTTGGCAGCTGCTACTGCCCCTATTCCTGGAGCCACTCTGCTTGATGACCTCATAACATCAGCCACGTGAGAAGACTCTAATTTTGACTTTTCTGATCTTGAAATCACTGCTTTGCACATGTGTGACGATCTTACTTAGGGAAGTAACTAACCAAGTACTTACTTGGTTGCAAGTAGGACAAGCTTTCTTAGCCTAACTTGAGTGCAAAGGGGTTTTTCCCAAAAAACTGGTATTACATGGAGTGCTCTAGAGCTCCAGCCTCATTCTGCTCTCTCGTTCTGCATACCTCCTTGTTCTCTCCTGAGCTTGTGGCCCCATGTGGCAGCCTCAGCCCTTCAGGGTTTCCCGGGCTGCGTGCTTGACAAGGACCATCGAGAGTCCCTATGTGCCCATTCCGGGCCCAGGAGAAAAGACATCTGATTGACTTCCCCAGGCAAGACATGCACCCCAAGTTGAGTCATCAAGTACATGTCCAGAATGGCAGAGCCATGCAGTTCTAACATGAATGGGGGGCAGGGGGCTCAGGTACAACCCGTATATGAGCTGGACAGGAACTCAAAGGCTGCTTACTTCCTACTGTTCTCTGGTGTTGTAAAAAGAAGTTCATTTTCAATGCCTTGCTATCCTAGATTATCTGTTGGTTTTGAATTGCTAAGAAAAATGGGTTGGAAGGAAGGACAAGGAATTGGTCCTCGAGTAAAGAGAAGACCGCGCCGACAAAAACCTGGTATGTATATTGATTGTCATCAGCCCTAATCCTAATACTTTTTTATGGCTACCTGTTTCTAGCAGTAACATTGCTGAGTGGTATGCACGTATTTTAAGGTGTCTTGTGTGTAACGTGAAATCGCTTTTGGGAAGAATTGTATTAGTTAATATTCCCATTAGGGGCATATGAAACTGTTTCTAGTTCTGCCAGAAGTATGTTACAATTTAACATGATTATTTTCTCTTTCTTGCCTGGGGTCTCCCCCACCTAGTCTGTGAACTCTTGGAAGCAGCAATAATTATTTTTGGTTCTCCCTGGTGCTGGAGCAGTAGTGGTTACTCGTTTAGCACAGTGTTGCCAGAGTGTGGGTTTGGCAGGGGCTGGCGGAAAACATTCCTGAGAGATCAGTCTTGGACCCTAAAGCTAGCACCTTTTACAAGTGCGGCCATGTACCTCTGAAGAGTGTCAGCAACTCGGGTTTCTGTATTTTCAGTTGCTCAGTTTCTGTATTTTCAGTTGCTCATGACTGATGCATTTGAAATCTCTTTTCTAGATCCTGGAGTAAAAATCTATGGCTGTGCATTACCTCCTGGAGGCTCTGAAGGATCTGAGGTATTGTATGGGATGGTTGACCTTCAGTGTGGTACAGTAGCATTTGTTACTTTATAGATGTAAAATTTTCTGATCGGAAACAATTTTTTTTACTATTTAACTTGTCTGTCTTTATTTAAGTGAATTTATTAAAATGACATGGTTAATAAAATTATACAGCTCTCAGGTGTACAGTTCTACAATACATCATTTGTAAACAATCGAAACAATTTTTTAAATCAATCACATCCCATTATAGTGAAATACCCGTACCCTAAAACTATTCTCATAATGGCAAATGCTGTATTCAGCACCATAGATATTTCAGGTCTGTTTAGATTCTTAAAATGGAGTTGTTTGTGTTGGTTTCATTTGTTCAGGGACTTGATTTAGTGATTTGTAATAGTGGCAATGATAGTTTGGTCATTGTTCTGTTTGGAATTAATCACTGCATTTGAAAATAGTATTTTATAGGCTTCCGTTTTGCAAGGCAGTGACTCACTTTCATTTCATTTTTTAAATAGGACGAAGATGATGACTACCTGCCAGAAAATGTGACCTTTGCACCCAAAGATGTCATGCCTGTGGATTTCACACCTAAAGATAATGTACATGGACTGGCTTACAAGGGCCTGGATCCCCACCAAGCGTTGTTTGGAACTTCGAGAGAACATCTTAATCTTTTCAGTGGGAGACCTGAGGGGACCAGCAATCTTATTGGAGATATTGGAATGAATAAAGGAAGAAAACTGGGAATTTCAGGCCAGGTACAAGTGTTTCAGTTTTATAAACATGGAACCATTGACAAATGAGAGTACTTTCCTTATTATATTTGCCCCATAGTAGGCACTTATTATTGATTGACAATAGGAAGATTTTGAAGTAGTTATATTTTCCTTTTCTGAAGACATGTGAAGTATACCTATGTGATTTTAGTATTTACTCCTGAGATCCTGTGACCTACGTTGTTGGTGGAGTTTGTGTGTTCCCAGGAGTGAGGACTGCTTTCTCACACCTTGTGGCACCGAGCAGAAAACCACACTTACCCCCTTGGCTTAGTTAATAGTTGAATTTCAGTTTGCCTCTCTGAGTTCAGATCCAAGTCTGACTACCTCTTGGACTATTTCCTGGAGCTGCCAGCCCTAAGTTGGGCGTTTCGGTATGAGTTTCACTTGGGTGACTTGCTTTGTACCTCTGAGGATATGGAGAACTTTTCCTGATTGCCTATTCTTTCCAGTTGATTCAGAGGTTTTTTCCTAAATAATGTTTAGAAAACATCATTATTACCTTTTCTTTCCAAGTTACTTTTAGAAAAATGTCATTATTGATTTTTGGGTTTTTTTTTGGTACATGCCCCTAGCAGGAACCAAACCCAGGACTCTCTGGTCTACAGGCCAACGCTCCAACCACTGAGCCAAACCAACCAGGGCCATTATTGTTTTTTGGTTTTTTTCAATTCTTTTTTTTTCAATCCTCACCCAAGGATATTTTTACATTTGTCTTCAGACAGAGTGGGAGGGAGAGAGAGAGAGAGAGAAACACTGATGTGAGAGAGCCACATTGATTGATTGCCACCTGCATGACCCCAACTGGGGCAAGGTACATGCCCTTAGCTGGAATCGAACCCGGGCCTTTTTGGTGCACAGGCTGATGCTCTAACTGCTGAGCCAAACTGGCTAGGGTTTTTCCAGTTCTTTTAACAAAAAAGGGATACTGTCTAGCCAGTGTGGCTTAGTGGTTGAGTATTGACCCATGCACCAAGAGGTCGCCAGTTTGATTCCCAGTCAAGTCACGCCCAGGCTGTGGGCCCGATCCTCAATGGGGGACATATAGGAGACAGTCAGTCAATGTCCTCTCTCATCGATATTTCTATCTCTCTCTCTCTCCCTCAAATCAATAAAGAAAAAATATTAAAAACAAATAAAAGAGATACTTATTAGAGATCATTTCCCACAAAGATTAGGAATTCTTATAGTAGCTATTAGAGTAGGGTGGTCTTCAGACCCTGGTCACCAGCTCTGTCCTCAGGCCATATTGAACAGTAGATGAGCATCCTTCCTTTCTCCTTTTGGAGGCCCCATTTCTCCTGCACTGTTGCTTGTGTGAGGTCTTCGTTCCTCTGCCCATGCTAGGACCCAGACCCATAGCTGCTGCTGGGCATGGCATTCTCTTCTGGTCACTGTAATCCAAAGGACTTGAGTCTGTGTATTAGTCTGGGTCTCCCATTTGCTTCTGTCTTGGTGATCTTCCATTGCGAATGTGGTCTGTTCAATTACATCCTTAAAGCAGCTTTCTCCTGCAGTGCAGACATGCCCTAGAATCTGTGATTGCTATTCGAAACTTTGTTTTTGAAGGCTTTTGGTGTCGGTGCCCTGGAAGATGAAGATGATGATATCTATGCCACAGAAACTCTGTCCAAGTATGACACCATTTTGAAGGATGAGGAGCCTGGAGATGGACTCTACGGCTGGACAGCGCCCAAGCAATATCAAAGTCAGAAAGGTGATTCCATAGACCTGCAACTCATAGTTGGACCAACATTAGGTTATCAGGAGAAGGGATTGCAAGGTTGATACTGTGTCAACCTTGCAATCCCTTCTGACAACCTCAAGGAGTAGGGAGGTGTTGGTCAAAGATGCAGAGTGAGAAACAAAGTGGGAAGAAGAGAGGCCCAATGCGGGAAATAAGATAGAAGAAGGATTTAGAAAGGGTCAAAACCAAAGCCAGTTATCAAGACAAGGTCAAGGAGGGCAGGAAGAGGAGGTCTGGAATCAGGGAAGGAGCGTGTGTGGGCAGGTAAGAGCTGGCACTGGGTCAGAGGGAAGCACTTCCAGCTCAAGGAGGTAGGCAGGTGGTCAGAGTAGGCCAACTCAAGCAGCAGGTCTGAAGGTCAAGTGTAGTGACTCAGTGGAAGGAGTACTGTGTAGCAAGATGGACCTTGGCAGCCTGTCTTCTACTTGTGTCTCTGGCTCTTATTGGGCAGACAGGTGGACATCTGTCAACACAACTAGAATTTCAAGTCAGAGTCTATAGTGATTCAGACCCTAGGTAATATTTCAATTTTTAATTTATAGGTTGATTTTGAGAGAGAGAGAGTGGAAGGGAGAGGGAAGGAGAGAGAGAAACATCCTGCCTCCTGTACACTGTACTACTGGGGATCGAGCCCGAAACCGGGGCATGTGCCCTGACTGGGAATTGAACCAGTGACCTCTTGATGCATGGGATGATACTCAACTGAGCCACTCAGGGTCAGGGCTGCATATGGAGTCTTGACAGAACCACTATTCGCAAGAAATCCTTGATAATAAAAGAGCCTTTGTCAATGGGGCTGTCTCTGCCACCAGTGCATGGTCCCTGGCTTCTAGTCAGAGGGCGTTGGTCCTTTTGTTTCCTGAAGCAGTGACCTTTATCTCTTGTTAGAATTTTATTTGAAAAAAAGACAAAACTACCTTTTAATTTGTACTAAGATTAGATTACCGGCTGACCTGGTTGTATGTTGCCTTTTGTATCTCATTTGGATGGTTGCTAAGGAAATTGGGAGGTAGTCTCCTTATGGTTCTTCACCTAGTTTTAGAAATGACCCTCTCACAATTATGATTTTTGCTTTTATCCATATTTGTTCTCTTGATGCTTTTACTTGAGATATTTTACTCCACAGAGTATATTTTTTGGTGCCCCTTATCTTAGGACCTCAAGCTCTTTTTCTGTCTTGGAGGGCCATAGCCTTGGGTCCTGGGCAGCCTAATCAGCTGTGGGTGGTGTGGGCTGGACTGCCTGAGTCAATAGAGGTATTTCCTCCTTTACTGCTATCTCTGTGACATCACATGTGACATGTAGTGTTTGTGTTCTTAGAGATAAAAAACTGACGTCTTTTGTCTTATTCTTATCTGTCCTTCTGAAATTAATCAATGACATCATTTTATAGAATCAGAGAAAGATCTTCGATACATTGGCAAAATATTGGATGGATTTTCCTTGGCTTCTAAACCTTTGTCTTCTAAGAAAGTAAGAAAAAAAATTTTTCACTGGTTTAATGCTTAAAATATTTGCTATGTAATCTGTAATCCGAGTTATTATACCAACAACTGGAATGATAAGTAAATTCTGTTTTCAAAAGCACCTGCCTACTTACTAGTGATTGTGGAGGCAAAGGTATTCTGTATTAGAAGTGGTTAGCCACATTGTATTCAAAACAGCTGATTGTTGATCTTTTAAAGTCAAACTTCAAGTGAGTGGTTATTTCCATTAAAAAAGAATTTTATTAGAAACAGGTGGGAGAATGGAATTGCTAACATTCTAGGGACAATGTAACTTAAGGGAAAGTAGAAAACTGTAAAAAAGCTGTAATGACCCACAGCCCAGAGTTCTCCAGCGGTGAGGCATATAAGCACGTGGGCGTGGTTCCCTGGGCTCCTTGCCTGGGCAAGCAGAAGGGAGGGAAGCCAGGCACATGCAGGTCAAGTCTTGGAGAGAAGTCCATGTGCTCTTCCAGATAGTGCTGTTTTTATGAGACTTTATTGCAGGTTAGGCCAGATGGCTCTTTAACACCCCTCAGAGTCACCTGTTCCTAGCTGGACATCGCAAGTTAGTTGTGGGTGCTGATAACTCAGGAGGGGTGCCTGGCCATTTGTCTTGATGGCATCCTTTTTTTAGGTTGTCCCCCACTGTGTAATGAGCTTTTCGTTTTTCATTCAGCACACATTTGTTGAGTACCTCTGTGGCTTGGCCTGTGGTCACGCAGAACATGGGGGGCCAGGAGCAGTACAGCCTGAGAAACTAGATTCAGAATCACAGTGGCTGTGATTGGTTTAGTGGTAATAGTTAATGTGTTGTAATAGTGAGCAGAATATATTTAAAACAGTGTGGGTACTCAGCCACTATTATGAACAGAAATGTGAAATATGTCAAAGGAGAATTCAAGTTTTTTACATTTATGAAAGGGGAGCATAAAGATGGTTGAAAAGCACTCATTTGACTCAGGGGTCAAGAATAAATAGGACAAAGTCCTGACCCCCAAGTAGCTCCTATTCAGTGAGGGTGCCAGACAGACAAATTCACTGGCAGGCAGAGTGCCATAGTGGACAGATAGGCAGCGGGGTCCCGAGGTGCTCCTCGCTGGAGTAGGGCTTTGAGCGTGAGTGATTCAGAAAAGGGCTGTGTTCACCTGGTTTTTCAGACAGGCAAGTTTTCTAAATATGTGGCTAAAAAATCCACCTCTAAAATGCTTTGAATCTGATAGAGGATTTGAAGAAGACGTGTGCGTGCGCACCCCTCTTCTGCCACGCTCCGCCGGATTTTTGTGTCTTGGTAACATGAGAATATTTGCTGGCTGCTGGGGGAGTCTGTTTTTCAAAGAAGGTGTCAGGCTAAGATGAAAAATGTGATTTGCTAACAGTGATAATACCACTCTTTTATGGATTTTCCTCGTGCCAGGTGCTCCCCCCGAGGGAACCACCTGGGAACCTTACAACCACCTGGGAAGCTTGGGAAACTCCGATTTTTGCCGACTTTGTGGGGTGGGACACAGGCCTCATTACCCTTAAAAGCCTCAGGTGAGCAGCTAGGGCTGCGAACTGCCAGAGAGCATTCAGCCTCACGGGCTACCGAGCTCAGGGCTTCGGGGCAGGAAAATCTAGAAAATAGCTCACATAGGACTGTCCATAAATATGTTTGTTGGACCAAGTGCAAGAGAGACCATTTAGTGCAGTAATTAAAATTTATCTAATACTTAAAAAAAATTTTATAAAGAATTTATTTGAGCCCAAACTAATGACATATGCCAGGAAACAAGATCTCAAATGCTTCTCTAACACTTCCTTTTAACTTATCTATTCTGCCATCATTAATACCTGAGTTTCCCAAATACTATATTTTAATTTCAGTTCAGTCAGATTCTTTTTTTTGTTCATCCTCACCTGAGGATATTTTTCCATTTACCTTCAAGTAGGCGGGAGTTGTGGGGGGCAGAGACAGAGAGAGAGAAAGAAACATCGATGTGAGAAAGACACATCAATTGGTTGCCTTCTGCACAACCCTGACCAGGGCCGGGTACTGAACTGCAACCCAGGTATGTGCCCTTGACCGGAATCAAACCCCATGACTCTTTGGTGTGAGGGCCAACGCTCTGACTGCTAAGCCAAACTGGCCAGGGCTAGATGCCACATTTTTTTTTTTTTTTTTTTTGAGAGAGAGGAAGGGAGAGGGAGAACATCGTTGTGAGAGTGAAACATCAATGGGCTGCCTCCTACATGCCCCCTATCAGGGATCAAGTTCATAACCTAGGCATGTGCCTTGACCAGGAGTTGAACCAGCATCCTTTCTGTGCACCGGGTAACGCCCAACCAACTGATCCACACTGGCCAAGGATCAATCAGTTTTTTAATTAAAAATACCTCAGATCAAAAAATAAGGCCGAAGTTCCAATTAGGAACTGAAACATAACCAGAAAAACATCTCTGAATTTATCCTCACCCGAGGACATTTTTTTTCTTTTTTGATATTTTGTTCAGATAGAGTGGGAGGGGGAGAGAGAGAGAGAAACATCGACGTGAAAGGGACACATCGAGTGGTTGCCACCCACACGACCCAACCAGGGCCGGGGACAAACCGCAAACGAGGTACGTGCCCTTAGCGGTAACCAAACCCTGGTCTTTCCGGACTGCAGGCCGATGCTCTAACCGCTGAGCCAAACCGGCCAGGGCAAAACATTTCTGAATTTAAAAGTAACTTATTTTGCCTGGTTGGTGTGACTCGGTTGGGCATCATCTCATGCACCAGGAGGTCACCTGTTCGATTCCCGATCAGGGCACATGCCTGAGTTGCAGGTTTGAAGCTCAGTAGGGGGCTTGCAGGAGGCAGTTGATTGATGTTTCTCTCTTTCTCTCCCTCTCCCTTCCTCTCTCTGAAATAATTAAAATCATATTTTTAAAAAAACTTATTTAAAGTTATTTTTTCTATACCTTGAATCATACTTTTCTAAAAGTTCTGATTTACAGTGAGCCAGTTCTGCATGTGGGCCTGTACGTCATGTCAATGGTTGTCATCATTCTTGTTCTCATCATATGAAACATGCATATTAGCATCTCCGTGTAGAAGTGGTCAGGGGTGTTATTAAAAATGTCTGGTTGTTAGAACAGTGTGGTTCTAGTGACCCTCCAGATACCGAATACGTGTTGCCTGGGCACTTGGACAGTCTATTCCCAGTGCTGCCTACTTACCTGCTGCATGTTAGCCTGGGATAGGCTGAGGTCAATAATGCTCAATGCTCAGAAGTAATGGGTTTTCTCAGTTAAATCAAACATGATCATCTTGCAGCCTGTATTTTCAGAGTTTTGTTCTGTTTTTATTTCTTTTTTAAGATTTATCCACCACCTGAATTGCCAAGAGGCTATCGACCAGTGCATTATTTCAGACCTGTCGTGGCTGCAACCTCAGAAAACTCCCATTTACTTCAGGTGTTATCAGAATCATCTGGAAAGCAAATACATGACCCAGGGACACATAGTAGGCACCAACTGAATGCCTCCAAGCGGGGAGAGTTGCTAGGAGAAACACCTATTCAAGGTATGTGTCATGGAGAGGATTGAAATCATTAAATTTATAATAATCTGAGGGATCAAAATAAAAATGGAGCCTGGCTGGTGTGGCTCAGTGGATTGAGTCTCATCCCATGGACTGAGAGGTCCCGGTTCAATTCCTGGTCTGGGCACGTGCCTGGGTTTTGGGCTCAATCCCCAGTAGGGGGCATGCAGGAGGCAGCCAATCGACTTTTCTCTCTCTCTCTCCCCAAAATAATCAATAAAAAATATTTTAAAAAAGAAAATGGAAAGATGTTTTCCTACTGAGAAATTCCCCATGATTTTGTATGAATAACATTATTTATTGGGAATGACGCACATAAGTGTACATCCTTTAGTTCCTAACACTTGTTTCCCACCATCAGTGTGAATTGTGTCACTGAAATGACAACCCTTGTCTTAAGCTGAGCAGCTCTTAGATTTTACTCATTGTTCAGGACTGTGGCAAGGGCCAGGAAGATGTGCACCTTCACTTTCTAAAGCAGTATAGCCTCAGAACACAGGACTTTTCCCTCAGGCGGAAAGGGTACTGTAGCGCTTTCCCTGAAAGCCTGAAAGGAATGAGTGCCTGTGAAAGTGCGGCAGGAGTGGGGAGTCCTCCACGTTGGAGCAGAAAGACCCACTGAGAGAGAGGAACTTGTGCTTGCTCTTCGAGGGGCCAACAGGTATCTCAGATGATAGACCCAAGCAGAACTCTTGGTTCCCTTTTCTTTCCCCAAACTGGCTTTTCCTCCAGCCTTCCCTTTCTCAGTAAACGGTACCACCAGTGACCCACTGCTCAGATCAGAATGTAGGAATTCTAATTCTTAGCTGTTCTCTTTCTCTTCGTCCCCTGACCCTACCCAGTTATCAGCAAGTCCTCTCATTTCTACCCCTGATAGGCACGGGGTCTGCATTTCCTCTGCTTCCCCCAAGGTCTGAATACCCATCTACTCTCACCTGGACTATTGCAGTAGCCTCCTGATTGGTCTCCTTATTAGCCCGCTGCAGTCCATTCCCCTCAACAGTAGCTAGATGAACCAAATATATCACTATCCCCCTTAAAATGCTCCATTACTTTTTTTTGGCTTATTTTTATTTATTGATTTGAGAGAGAGAGAGAAACATTAGATTTGTTTCACTTATTTATGCATTCATTGCTTGATTCTTTTTTTTGTTGTTGTTAATCCTCACTTGAGGATATTTTTCAATACAGTAGAAAGGAAGGAGAGAAAGACACAGAAACATGGATGTGAGTGAGAGACACATCGACTGGTTGCTTCCTGCACAACCCCGACTGGGGCCAGGGATCAAAACTGCAACCCAGGTGTGTGCCCTTGACCGGAACCGAACCTAAGATTCTTTTGTTTACAGGCCGAACTCTAACCACTGAGCCAAACCAGCCTGGGCTGATTTTTTTTTTTTTTTTCTTAATTGACTTGAGAGACAGAGAGAGAGAAACATAGATTTGTTGTTTCACTTATTTATACATTCTTTGGTTGCTTCTTGTATGTGCCCTGACTAGAGATTGAACACACAACCTTGGCTTATTGGAACGACACTCTAACCAGCTGAGCTACCCGGCCAGGGCCACCAGTACTTCTTAACTAAAGAGAAATCTGGACTCTCCACAAGACTCTATGGATCCAGACCTGTATACCTTTCAAGCCACGTCTTATACTACTTTCCCTTAGCCCACTGTGGTCTAACCTCACGATCTCCTTTTGCCCCGTGAACCAGGCAACCAAGATTCCACCCCAGGGCCTTTATGTTTGCTGTTTTCTCTACCTCTGTTCTTCCCTTGTAGGTTGGCTCCTTCTTTTTACTTTGAAGTTACCTCAAATATTACCTCTCTAGAGGGACCTTCTGGGCCTTCCCTGCCCACCACATAAGCTGGTTATCTCTCCCTCCATCCCCACAGCCAGCCTTCCCACCTGAGTCACCCTCAGTCACATGACCCTCTTTTCCCACAGTCCTCCTCTCACAGCAATCCTCTGGCATTCATTTTGGGTTTCTTTTTTTTTTTTATCCTCACCCGAGGACATTTTCCCATTCTTTGTTCGGATAGAGTGGGAGGGGGAGAGGGGAAGAGAGAAACATCGACGTGAAAGGGACACATCAAGTGGCTGCCACCTGCACGACCCAACCAGGGCAGGGGACATACTTCAACCGTGATACATGCCCTTAGCGGGAACCGAACCCTGGTCTCTCTGGACCGCAGGCCGATGCTCTAACCGCTGAGCCAAACCAGCCAGGGCAATTTTTGGCTTCTTTAATGTCCTTCTCTCTCATTATCGAGAGCAGAATCTTGTCTTCATTGTCCCCCCCGGCCCCAGCCAGGGTCTGGCATGGAGTGTGCTCAGTGAGTGTGTGATGGGTAGCTGTGCTCTGAGCCAGGCTCATGCCGGGCAGGACAGTGGAAAATGGTGGCCACCACGGACTGGTGGTCCAGAGTTCCAGATGTCAGCTTCCTTATTCTGGGACCACTTGCTGGCCTGATGAACGTCTATTCTTACCAGCTGTAAAATAGGAGTCTCATTATGTTATTACTGTTTAGTTTCCAGGGGTAGTATGAATACAGATGAACCACTAAATGTAAAATACTCCAATTACATAAACTTGTGGTATTGAAATACAATAACACTTTGTGGTATTGAAAGTACAGAAAAGTGTTATTGTATTTGTCTTATGATACTTTCCCTCTCTTTTATTGTTTTTATTTAGGTTCAGCTACGTCCGTGTTAGAATTTCTATCCCAAAAAGATAAAGAGAGATTCAAAGAAATGAAGCAAGCCACTGACCTTAAAGCAGCTCAACTCAAGGCCAGGAGCCTGGCCCAGAACGCCTCAAGCAGCAGAACCCAGCCCTCCTCTGCAGACGTCGGGCACCACTCTTGGCACACGGCACTGAGTGGCGGGACAGCCACCACAAAAGCCAGCAACTTCAAACCTTTCGCCAAAGATCCAGAGAAGCAAAAACGATACGAGACGTTTTTAGTAAAGATGAAACAGGGACAGAAAGGTGGGTGCGAGGCCTATGTCTCCCACGTCTCAGCCAGGGCCATTGTTCCTGGTATCCTGACCCCTGTCCCCAATTTAAAGTTGGAGCACCCTTCGTTCTGCTGCAAACAGCGCGAAGATTTCAGGCCCCGGCTTTTAACCTTAGAAAGCGAGTGCATGTAGCTCGTGTTTCTGTATATCTCAGGTCCCAAAGCTAGTGGTTTAATTAGAGTACATGCCGGGTGGTGGCTAATGCTAAGTTACAGACCATTTACTGTTCGCAAATGCTCGGCTTCTGAGAGTGCTGCATTTCATACCGAGAAAACGAGGTCATCTCCTACTTTATCTTAAGGTCCTAACTGTCCAGCTCTAAATCATAGTTTACAATTTGACTTATAGAGAGAGTTGGCTGTTGAATTATTCATTACACAGAGAGAAAAAAATCATTCTGTGATCTATGAAGTAAATATGGCAAGACTGGGGAGAGGGCTGGCTGTCATCTGCAGTAGTCGCTGTGAGAGGTAGCAATTAGAGGGGTTCATTTTTCAAAGCAGATTTTGTGTACTGTGCTTGAGCTCTCCACTAAGAATCCATACCCCTAACATTTATTTGTTAAATTTAAAAAAAGTTATAAAAAAATAAAGTTAAAGAAAGGAGTGTTTTTCTGCCAACATTTAGGAATCGAATTGGGATGAACTTACTGTTGAGCAGTAACAGGTTCTATGCTTCGAAGACTTAATCGAGCATTGGTTCCCAAATGTTTTCCTCTGATATATGGGGTGGAATTCGAAAGAAGCATCATTTTGAGGGAGTAAGCAATATTATCTGCCAAGTACCTCCCCACTATGCTCTTAAAAACCAGGATGAGGATTTGTCTCCGATGAAATCTATGGGGACCCAATGGTGTCACCAGATGTTCTCCGTTAAGCTCATGTTTCTCCTAAGAGTGAAGCAGTTTCTTGTTCTCTGTACTGTAGATGCTCTGGAGCACTGTCTGGATCCCAGTATGACAGAGTGGGAGCGAGGCCGAGAACGGGAGGAGTTTTCTCGGGCAGCCCTGCTGTATGCATCTTCCCATTCGACCTTGTCCTCCAGGTTCACTCATGCCAAAGAGGAAGACGATTCAGATCAAGTGGAAGTTCCTCGAGACCAAGAGGTCTGTCACCATCCTGTCCCTACCTGGTGCATTTTATTTTATTTTATTTATTTATTTTAGAGAGAGATAAAAACATCAATGTGAGAGAGAGACATCAATCAGCTGCCTCTTGCACGCCCCCTACTGGGGATTGAGCCCACAACCTGGGTATGTGCCCTGACCTGGGATTGAACCAGGACCTCTTTTATTATTATTATTATTTTTTTATCCTCATTCGAGGACATTTTTCCATTTTTTGTTCAGATAGGGTGCGAGGGAGGGAGAGAGAGAAACATCGATGTGAAAGGGACACATCAAGTGATTGCCACTCGCATGACCCAACCAGGGCCAGGGACAAACTACAACCGAGGTATATGCCCTTAGTGGGAACCGAACCCAGGTCTCTCTGGACCGCAGGCCGACGCTCTAACCGCTGAGCCAAACCGACCAGGGCAGAACCAGGACCTCTTAGTCTATGGGATGACGCTTAATCCACTGAGCCACTCCAGCCGGGCTCTACCTGGTGCATTTTAAACAATTTTTAAAATGTATTGATTTCAGAGAGAGATGGGGGACAGAGAAACATTGATTTGAGGTTCCACTTATTTATGCATTCATTGGTTGATTCTTGTATGTGCCCTGACCGGCCATTGAACCAAAACCTTGGCATATTGGGACAATGTCCTAACCAACTGAGCTACCCAGCCTGGGCCTACCTGGTGCATTTCAAAATTAAAACACTACATAGCCAAATATTTTAAATCCCTCAGTGAAAGATAAAAATATACATGGCATTGAAGAATTAGAAGTTATGTTTATGCTTTTAGCTTCCAATGTACTTTAGCAAAAGTGTAGCATAAGCAGTTTTATAATTTTGAAAGATTGCTTGAAAACTTCTGAATGGAAGAGCAGTCAGGTCAATATGTGACCACTTGATGAAACAGAATGAATGTCTTTTCCAGAATGATGTCAATGACAAGCAGTCAGCTGTGAAAATGAAGATGTTTGGGAAGCTCACCCGAGACACGTTTGAATGGCACCCTGACAAGCTTCTATGTAAGAGGTTTAATGTCCCTGACCCTTATCCAGAGTAAGTTGGATAAACCTGACCTTCCATTAGTACTTATTCTCTATATTAAAGTTAATGTTCTTCTTACATACTCACATAAATTCCCTTTTTCTAGATGAACTTACTTGTACATATTTGAGTTGCAAATTTTGCAGGTTTAACTTCTTTGAATTTGTTAGTAAAAACATAAACAACCATCCAGATGGCAAACTTACTCCATATTGAAGACATAAACCTCAGATATGTCAAGTTATAAAAACTTGATGCTTGTTTAATTTGCCACATGTTCAATGATGCATATACAATTTACATTTAAAAAGTTACTTATATTTTCTTATAAAAGTTTACTACTTCTTATTTGATTAAAAACACCACAAGAAAGCATATACAGCTGAATCCGAGACTTGGTCTGAAAATTTAGATATGCAGTTGACCCTTGAACAATGCAACAGTTAAGGGCTCTGACCCCCAACCTACTGCCATGCAATTAAAAGTCCACATATAACTTCTGACTCCCCCAAAACTTTACTAATAGTACTTTTGACCAGAAGTCTTATAGATAACATAGACAGTCAACACATTATTTTGTATGGTATATGTATTGCATACTGTATTCTTACAATAAAGTAAGCTAGAGAAAATAAAATGTTACAGAAATCGTAAAGAAAATACATTTATGGTATTTATTGACAAAAATCTGTGTATAAGTGGACCTGCACAGTTCAAACCCATGCTGTTTAGGGTCTACTGTATTTTTAGCAGTGGAACTTTTCCTTAATGGAAATTCATCTTCAAAGTTAAATTCTAGCTCTTAGTATAATCAGGAAAAAACTAATGGGTCTAAAGTTACCCTTTATAAATTCTTAATTGCTTTAACAAGTGAAAACATCTTAGGTGATTTTTTTTTTATCCTCACCCGAGGACATTTTTGCATTTATCTTCAGATAGAGCGGGAGGGAGAGAGGGAGGAAGAGAGAGAGAGAAACATCGATGTGTGAGAGACACATGGAATGGTCGTCACCCACACGACCCCAACTGGGGCCGGGGACAAACTGCAACCAAGGTATGTGCCCTTAGCGGGAACCGAACCCGGGACTCTCTGGACTGCAGGCCTATGCTCTAACCACTGAGCCAAACCGGCCAGCGCTAGGTGATCTTTTTAGCCAAGTAGAAGAGCTACTGGTGAAAAACATAAGAAGCAACGCTTTATAGGAATTAGATTTTATTCTCACGGTTGTTATTAAAATTATATATATATTTTTCAACCCCCCAGTTCAACTTTAGTTGGCTTACCAAGAGTGAAACGTGACAAATACTCAGTCTTCAACTTTCTGACACTCCCAGAGACAGCTTCCTTGCCTACAACTCAAGCGTCAAGTGAAAAAGTACTGCAGCACCGAGGTCCTGACAGTGAGTAGGGCTTCCTCGGGTCCATGTGCTGACCATGATCTCAATCCCTAGTCTGTTGGGAAGACAGAAATAAAGGGTAATCTAATCTAATCAAAAGGATACACATAATGTAAACTCTCCCTCCATTAACAGAATTGCTTATAAGGATACCTTAGCTCATGTTGTAATGGTCCACATGTATCCTATTTGGGGCTGGTAGTCTGCCTCAGCATCTGGGACATGCCCAGCACTTTGCACAGAGCCTGGGCTGTAGTAGATTCACAGATGTTCTTGAATGAATTAAAGAGCTGTAATGAAGAACTTGTTTTCTGCTTGTTAATTCTGTTGTGTCTATATCCTAATTTTCAGAATCAAGAAAACCATCCAGATGGGATACATCTAAACAAGAAAAGAAAGAAGATTCCATTAGTGAATTCTTAAGTTTGGCTAGATCAAAAGTTGGTCCACTTAAACAAGAGTCTAGTCCATTAGGAAACAAAGAGGAAGAGCCTGTGAAGGAATCACTCTCAAATAAGGTATTTGAGCTTCCCAGTTCTCTTTGCCAGGCTAGCCTTTGTCTTTATAGTGAGCAGGGTTCAGCACACTTTTTCTGTGAAAGGCCAGATTATTAAAGGCTCAGTGGGCCATTGTCTCTTGTAACTATTCAGCCCTGTTGTTGAGTGTGAAAGGAACCACAGGCAATGTGAAAACAATTGGGTGCATCTATGTTCCAATAAAACTTATTTACAAAAACAGGCAGCGGTTGGATTTGGCCCCTGGACTAGTCTGCTAATACCTGCTCTACAGTCCAACAATTTGAATCATAGCTTAAATCATTTGAGGAGAGGTTATAAACTCTGCCTAGAATGGCTTTCACTTAGCATTAACCATTGAAACAACATTCAATGTACTTCTATTGGAAAATAGAACTTTCTACGTAACAAATATTTTCTTTTGTTAGAGACACCACCAAGTTTTTTTTTAAAAATCACTGATTTAATAGTTAAAAATTGAACTTAATAAAAAAAAGTTGGTTTTATTTCCAATAATGTCAGTAAAATTAAATCCATTTCATCTAGTGTGTCATTTAAGGCTGTTGTCTCCTTATAGATTTTCTGTCTGGAAGATCTATCCATTGATGTCAATGGGGTGTTAAAATCCCCTACTATGACTATATTACTGTCAGTCTCTCCATTTATGTCTATCAAGATTTGCTTTACATATTTAGGTGCTCCTATGTTGGGTGCATAAATGTTTACAAGAATGTATCCTCTTGTTGGATTGCCCCCTTCATTATTATGTAGTATCCTTCTTTGTCTCTTACTACATATAGCCTTGGTTTTCAAGTCCGTTTTGTCAGATGTAAGTATTGCTACCCCAGCTTTTTTTTCCTTTCCATTTGCATGAGATATCTTTTCCCATCCCTTTACTTCTAGTCTGTGTGTTTTATTCATTCTGAGGTGGGTCTCTTGAAGACAGCATATACAAGGGTCTTGTTTTCTTATCTATTCAGCTACCTTATATCTTTTGATTGGAGCATTTAGCCATTTACATTTAAAGTGATTATTCTTAGGTACATATTTATTGCTGTCTTATTTTTTTAACTATGTTCCTCTGTCTTTTTGTCTTCTCCTCCTCCACCTTCTCCTCTTCTTTCTCCCCTTTCCCTCCCCCTCTTATTTCTTTCCCTCCCCTTCCCCTCCTCCTCCCTCCCCCTCCTCCTCTCCCCCTCCTCCTCCTCCTCCTCCTCCTCCTCCTCCTCCTCCTCGTTCTTCTCATTCTCCTTCTTCTCCTCATTCTCATTCTCATTCTTCCAAACCCTTTAACATTTCTTGTAATACTGGCTTGGTGGTAACAAACCACTTTAGCTTTTTCTTGTCTGGGAAGCTCTTTATTTCTCCCTCCATTTTAAATGATAGCATTGCTGAGTAAAGTAGCCTTGGTTGGAGGTCTGTGTTTTTCATCACTTTGAATATTTCATCCCAATCCCTTTTGGCCTAAAATGTTTCTGTTGAGAAATCAGCTGACAGTCTTATGAGAGCTCCCTTGTAGCTAACTGACTACCTTTCTCTTGCAACTTTTAAGATTCTTTTTCTGTCTCTAACTTTTGCCATTTTAATTATGATGTGTCTTGGTGTGGACCTCTTTGGGTCCCTGTTGTTAAGACTCTTTGTGCTTTCTGGACTTGCCTTTTTCCTTCACTAGGTTAGGGAAGTTTTCAGTCATTATTTTTAATATGTTTTTATTGATTTTTCAGAGAGAGGAAGGGGGAGAGAGATAGAAACACTGATGAGAGAGAAACATTAATCAGCTGCCTTCTGCACACCCCCTACTGGGGATTGAGGAGGATTCCCCCAGGCTGATTCTGCATGGAGGGGAATGCTCTGCCTGTGAAAGATGATTTCTGCAGTATGGGGGATTGACTCAGCACAGGGGTCCTGGTGGCTGACCTCTCAGCTCTCTCCCCAGAGTCACCAACCCCAAACTCTGCTCATGCAGCTCTAATCTGCTCTGCCCTCCCTCTGCTGGAGTCTAGGGTGAGTGGCTGTGAATGAAATTTTGTACGTTGGCCCTTTAAGAGGGTGCCTGCGTTTCTAGCTCTCTCTCCCTGGTGGACAGAGACCCCATTCTTTTTCACAGTCAGATGTGGGTGCCTATCCTGGTTCTGGTACTCTGGGCTGGAGAGTTCAGCTTGGGGTTCAGATCCCACACTTCTCAGGGGGAACCTCCTGCAGCATATATATCCCTTTGGAACTCATCTGGCCAGCCCTCGCATTCCTCTGCACCTACCAGTCTTGATGTGGCCTCTTCTGTAAGTCCTGGGTTATAAGGCTTATCTCCAGTTAGTCTTCAGTTGGTTATTCTGGATAATTTTTCTGTGCTATAGTTGTAATTCCAGTTTGGTCCTGGAGGAGGAGAGTGTAGTTTCCACCTGATCTGCCACCATCTTGGGTCTCCCTTTTACCATTACTTTTCTTAATGGCATAAAACCCTATTCAGGGATCCTGGCTCTGTGATATGGTCATTAGATTAGAAAGCCTTCTAGATTTTCTCAAAAATAACATTGATGCAATATTGGGTAATTTTTCCTGGAAAGTTTTGTTTCTTGCTTTTTCACTTGTTAGCCTTGAGGCCTTAAAAGGCTCTTTCTTCATCTGCATTATTTAATATATATTTTCTGCTTCTAAGTTTTTATCAACATGACTTTTTAAAAACAAGCATATCTATACCAGTGTGTGGGGGGAGGTGAGAGTGGGAGAAGGGAGGAGGGGCGGGCAGGGCAGAGGGAAGGAATTCTGTTCTACTGATAAGAAAGCAGCATTCATACCATCATGGATTTCATCTGAAATAAAGATGTTAAGGAATCCTTTTTGGGGGCTTCATCCCCAACCCTCTCATGTCTCACGGCTGGGTCACGGTGGCCTGAGCACTCAGCCCAGGGCCAAGGAAGCCAATTTGGATGGGTAATAATTTTTACTTGAAACTTCTGAGTCAGCACAGAGGTGTATGTTCATACCATTCGGTGGAGGGTGTATGTGAGTGGGGGGTGTGGTGAAGAAGGTGTGCAAACGTATATGCCGGGTACTTGGTGTGTGTTGTGGTTGTTATTAATTCCAGTACAGCTCCTATTATATCCCAGAAAAAATAAAAACCAAAAAGATCAGCTTGTATAACTAAGAGTAGAATGTCTCATGTATTCTGCCTGTAAATGTAATAATACTGACACCATTAAAGGTCAGAAATGTCTATTAACACAGATATCAGCCAGCTGTCATTTGGTTTATGTCCATGGATGTGGTTTGCCCTAAATATATCAGATTCATGACTTTTCTAGGGAATTTCTACCATGATTTCCTGTGTCTCACTGTTAGGCTTTCTCTCCTGACTTTTTGTATGATTTAGAAAAATTTCTGAAACAATCTCAAAACCTTAAATACAGTACAGATAAATTTTTTTCTTGAAATGCTTAAGCATAAGATGCCCCATCACCCCTATGTTTCTTTCAAAGGACATTCTCCTGTATGACCAGAATACATCCATCAAAATCAGGAAATTAACAACGATACATAACTGCTATCTAATTCTCAGCCATTCATGGTCTACCAGTTGTCCTGATAAAATCCTTTATAGCAAAAAAGATTTCAGTGCAGCAAAAAGGATTCAGTGTTAGGTCTCCTTAGTCTTCTTCAGTCTGGAGCAGTTCCTCAGTTTCTCCTTGACTTCTATGATCTTGATACTTTTGAAGATCACAGGCCAGAATTTTGAAGAATGTTCCTCAATTTGGGCTAATCTGATGTTACCTGAGGGTCTGCATCTTTGATAGGAATTCCTCAGCAGGGATGCTGGTGTGCTCTTATTGACCCTGTCAGGGGTGCAGGATGGCGGTTTGTCCCATTACTGGTGATGTTCACTTTGATCATTTGGGTAATGTGGTGCCTGCCAAGGTTTTTCACTATAAAGTTAGTCTTTTCCTCTTTCTAATGAATAAATACCTTTATGTATTCATTTTTATTAATTTGTACTTATTTTTTATTAAGTATTTAGGAGCTTTGAAATAGTTTCTTGTCAAAGTTTATCTTTGTTTTCTATTGTATGCAAAAGGATACTTTGGTACTATCAATATTTTTTTTTTTTTTTTTTAGTCCTCATCCGAGGACATTTTTCCATTTTTTGTACAGACAGAGTGGGAGGGAGAGAGAGGAAGAGAGAGAGAGGGAAACATCGATGTGAAAGGGACACATCGAGTGGCTGCCACCTGCACGACCAACCAGGGCCAGGGACAAACTGCAACCGAGGTACATGCCCTTAGCGGGAACCGAACCCGGGTCTCTCCGGACCACAGGCGGATGCTCTAACTGCTGAGCCAAACCGGCCAGGGCGGTACTATCAATATTTATTTTAATACTCAGATTGTATAGTTTGGCTAGTTGGGGCCCCTTCAAGTTGGCTTTTGTGTTCTTTTAATATCAAACCCTCTTACTCCCTGAGCATGGCCTTGCTTTTTCACGCAGAAGGATTTTCTGGACTCCTTTTTTGTCTCAGTTCCAGCTCTAGAATCAGTTCTTTCTTCAAGGTGCCCTGGTTATTTTTAGTGAGGAATGGTATACTTTTCCTCTTTATTGATTTTTCTTTCTTTTTTTTTATACTCACTTAAGGACATTTTTCCATATTTTGTTCAGATAGGGTGGGAGGGGGGGAGAGAGAGAGAGAGAGAAACATTGACGTGAAAGGGACACATCGAATGGCTGCCACCTGCACAACCAACCAGGGCTGGGGACAAACTGCAACCGAGGTACATGCCCTTAGTGGGAACCGAACCCGGGTCTCTGGACTGCAGGCTGATGCTCTAACCGCTGAGCCAGACCAGCCAGGGCTATTGATTTTTCCTTCCTTCCTTCCTTCCTTCCTTCCTTCCTTCCTTCCTCCCTCCCTCCCTCCTTCCTTCCTTCCTTCCTTCCTCCCTCCCTCCCTCCCTCCCTCCTTCCCTCCCTCCCTCCTTCCTTTGTGGTTCCTGTCCCTAGTGGGAACCAAAACAGGACTCTCTGGTCTGTAGGCCAATGCTCAACCGCTGAGCCAAACTGGCCAGGGCAAAGAGTTTACTTTAAAACCACAAATGCCACTGTCTTGTACCAGTTTTCCTCATGTGGGTATTTGTAACTTTGCTCCAGAAAATGAAGGTGGTGAGGCATGGCAGAGTGGCCCCTGGATGAGAGTGAGGAGGGCTGGGTTACAGAGTCCAGGTCCGCTCCTTGGGCCTCTCATCTCTGACCCAGGCTCTCCAGTGGCATATTGGGAGGACAAAGTGGATTGTGACCTAGGCCAGTTCTGGGTTTCTTATATTGCTTAACACATTAGTTGACCCAGTGTCAGGCTGGTGATAAGCTGTTGGAGAGAGGGAACTGTGTCTTCTTCATACCTTTGCTTTTTGCTTATTGAACTGAGTGTGTACAAAGTTACTGGCTCTGTTTGGTTAACATGAATGTCCATATCTGGGCTTCCTTTAGGAAGGGCGATGTGTAGTTAGTTGCAAAGAGAAGTTCTGTGGCCATTTTATCAGTGTGTTCCTGGCTCCCTCCCCATGGTGTGGAGGGCCCAGTTTTCTCTCCAGCGTTTTCATGTGAGTAGGCTGTCTTCAACCCCTTCAATACTGGGCCTCCGAAGGCTCAGAGAGACTCTTGGAAATAGGACAGAGGCACTGTGCTATTTCCTACTGCATTTTTCTCTGCAATTCTGATTAATGACCTGTCTCCATGAGAGATTTCAGCTGCTTCTCCCATTCAACACATCCTGCAGTTGTTGAATCAGAAACACCACAAAAATAAATGCCATGTGTGAGAACTGTTTAGTTATGCAGGATGTGGGAGACCCACGTAATGAACACAAACAGCGTGTGTGTGTGTGTGTGTGTGTGTGTGTGTGTGTGTGTTCTAGAATGCTTGGCTCCTTTCACTGTTGCTTCTTCATTCCTGACTCTTGCTTCACTGTTAATACAGCTGGTAAACAAAGGTGTGGATTCACAGACTGAAGGAGAAGAGAGCCGCCCATCCATGGACTTATTCAAGGCCATCTTTGCCAGCTCCTCGGAAGAAAAGTCCTCATCCTCTGAGGATGAGCAGGGCGACAGCGAGGATGATCAGGAGGATATTGGGGAGGCTGGTTTCAAAAGTTCCCAGGAGGCTGGCTTGGTGGAAACATCATCCGTGGCACAGAGTACGTCAGTATCTCAGACTTTGGGATCTAAAGAAGAAACGACAATGTCTCTGGAGAAGCTGCTGTTTTGTTTAGTGTATAATTTTAAACCAGGATAATCAGCAATCAATGGTGTTTTAATGTTTCACATTTTTAACTGGGGTAGACCAGAGTTCTATTTTATCTGGCTGGTATAAATCTCTGTATTTTTTTTTTTCCTCACCCGAGGACATTTTTCCATTTTTTGTACAGACAGAGTGGGAGGGAGAGAGAGGAAGAGAGAGAGGGAAACATCGATGTGAAAGGGACACATCGAGTGGCTGCCACCTGCACGACCAACCAGGGCCGGGGACAAACTGCAACCGAGGTACATGCCCTTAGCGGGAACCGAACCCGGGTCTCTCCGGACCGCAGGCAGGCGCTGTAACCACTGAGCCAAACCGGCCAGGGCTAAATCTCTGTATTTTTTTAAAAATATTTTTTATTCTTTTAACTTGGAATTTTAATTATGTACATAAATAGCAACATGAGAACGAGAAGTTCTAAGGCTTGTACATCATCCTTAGGTGAAAAGATTTCAGATTAGTCCCTTTATAGTATGGCATCACCCAAGGTAACAAAGAGGCCTAGACTAGTTTTTCCTGAAGAAGAAAGACAGTTTACTATATTCAATACTGACTCCTCTTCCATTTTTCTGTAGAAATACTGGTTTATTGTATGGAGTTTCCAATGTTTACCTATAACTCTAGCCAAAAGGGGTCCAACAATGCCAGCAAAACCAATAACACCAAGTCTTGGAAAAAATCCAGGAGGTGCATTTTGTAGATATTCATAGCTGTCTAACCCCCACTGAACCAAACTTTGCATCTTGGGCTCAGTTTGGGAGTATATGGCTTGCAATTTCTTGTATATGGCTTGCAATACTCTCGGAGATGTGAGATGCTTTCTTCAAGTCGAGTCCTTGGCTCCTCCACGTATTTAGATTGACCCTCGGGAACGGAGTAGAGTGAAAGCTCATTAACCCTCACGCAAGTTTTGTGAGGTGAGTCCTTTTTCTGTGATGCATAGACTTTGAAGGTGAGAAGACTCAGACTGGCCGGCCCCACGGATCTCTGAATTACCATGAACATGTCGCTGGCAGTGGCGGCTCCAGCGGGCTAAATCTCTGTATTTTTAGGATAGCTGTGTTGGTAAGGTTGACTTTCCTAATTATCCTAGTTGAGAAGAATTTAAGAATAGTAAAAATTTTGTTTAAAAATAGCTTTATGCCCTGGCCAATTTGGCTCAGTGGTTAGAGCATTGGCCTGCGGTCCAGAGAGACCCGGGTTCGGTTCCTGCTAAGGGCACGTACCTCGGTTGCAGTTTGTCCCCGGCCCTGGTTGGTCGTGTGAGTGGCAGCCACTCAATGTGTCCCTTTCACGTCGATGTTTCCCTCTCTCTCTTCCTCTCTCTCCCTCCCACTCTATCTGAACAAAAAAATGGAAAAAATGTCCTCGGGTGAGGATAAAAAAAAAATAGCTTTATTTATTTGTTTTAGAGAGAGAGGAAGCATGGGGAGGTGGGGGAGAAACATCGATTTGTTGTTCCACATATTTGTGCATTCATTGGTTGATTCTTGTATGTGCCCTGACCGGGGATACACCTGTGGTGTATCAGACGATGCTCTAACCAACTGAGGTGGTGGTGTTTTTTTAACCTAATTGATAAGGAGGTGCTAGAATTACTGGATAACATTTAGTTGTGAAGTAAGTATACAGGGGCTCTTCCAGTTTTCCTCTCTGCAGGGCACCCTGAATGCTCTGGATCAACCATCATTTGGTGGATGGGGTCTGTCCTCATTACCATGAGTCTAACACTTGGTTTGCAGCTTGCCCTGCGTGTTCTGTTGACCCCAGCGAGGAGTCGTGGCGCAGGAAAAGGAGTCCATCTTGCCTTTGCGGGGGTGGAAGACTTTTCAGATGCTTGGGCTGGGTGTGGACAAAATTTCTCATCTCGGTCTCATAGTGCTCTGCCTGCCCTATCGGTCTGTGATGGACGTGGGTATAATTTTTGAGGGCCTTTAACCAAAAAGTTACATAGTGGTATAAAAATACTGTTTGTTCTTAGGTGATTGCAAATGTCACCTTCTTTTTTATTTCTGTGGGGGGGGGAAACCCAACTTTTATTACAAAGTTATGTATACTTGAATTTTTATTATTATTATTTAATATGTTTTTATTGATTTTTTTTTTTAGAGAGAGGAAGGGAGAGAGAGAAACATCGATATGGGAGGGAAGCATCAATCAGCTGCCTCCTGCACGCCTTCTACTGGGGATCGAGCCCACAACTTGGGCATGTGCCCTGACTGAGAATCAAACTAGCGCCCTCCTGGTGCATGGGAGGATGCTCAACCACTGAGCCACACCAGCTGGGCATAAGAAGAGATTATTAATGTGAACGTGATCATTTGTTTATATTCAGTTTTTCTCTTTAGTGACTCATTTTGAATGAAATTAAGCTTTCTGAGCTGGAATGTAGTCTTACATCCCTGTTTGTAAACTTTTTTTTTCTCAGATGGCCCTTCTTCGAAGACACCATTCAACCCTTCAGGTTGCAGTAGGTGATCGGGATGCTACACACACTCCTGTGTTACAGCCACTGGCACACTTGGTTGCGGGTGCCCTGTGTAACTGACTTCCCAGCTCGAATGCCCATGAGGTGGGAGGTCAGGTCCATGTGTTCACAGCACCTGTGTCCTCAGCATCTGGTGTGAGCTAGTTAAGCAGAGTGGTGAAGGAAGGCACATGTTATCTGGTGGCAACAGACATTAGTTAAAGACTCAAACCCATTCCTATTTGCAGATATATGAAATGAATGCCCTGGTGTTTTTCAGCGAGTGAGCCGGCCCGGCAGGAGCCCGCCCCTTCCTTCGTGATACAGAAGATGCAGATAGATGAAAGAGAAGAGTTCGGTCCGCGGCTGCCTCCTGTCTTCTGCCCCAGTGAGTCGAGAGCTCCTTAGTCCACCTGTGTGTCGTGGCACCCACGTGTCGCCTGAAATATGACAACTCTGAGTTATTTCCATCCAGCCAATCCAGCATGAGGCCATCCAAATACATACCTTTGTTTCTGGTTCAGCTGTTCGCAGCCACATTCTGAAACCCATTGCTCCACCTAGTGCCTCAATGATAGTTGTTGCTCTACAGCCTCAGAGACCTTCGATCTTTTTTCTTTTCTTTTTAACGTTCGGATATTTGCAGTGGGGTCCTAAGTAATGTATCTCAAATGTTGTCACTTAATAGAAATAAAAAAGTAAAAATCTAGGACACTGAGATGGGAGGGGAGTTGCATGGAGTAGGGTAATCTGAGACTTTTTTATACTTTGGCCAATGTAGCAGATAAAATAGAGTGAATTCTGGTCGAAGTACATACAGCCATCTTCCTCCACCCGGGGCTGTTCACAACTCCTGTTCAGTGCCATCCGAAATGGACCCTCACGTAAAATGTTTAGACTGGTTAATCATCTCTTTGAAGACTTGGTTAACAGACTTCTGATAACATGATCCAGGTTTATGAATAATAAATAATTGTTATCTACTTTATAGTTTCCTATAGTGCTCACGCATAAATACTGTTTTAGTCAATTAACCCAGCCTTTAAAGAGATGATAAGCAGATAGGAGTAAAAAGTGTGAAGTTTGCCCTGACTGGTTTGGTTCAGCAGTTAGAGCGTCAGCCTGTGGACTAGAGAGACCCGGTTGGGTTCCCACTAAGGCACATACCTCGGTTGGGGTCGTGTGGGTGGCAGCCACTCAATGTGTCTCTCTCATAGTGGTGTTTCTCTCTCTCTTCCCCCCTCCCGCTCTATTTGAATGAAGGTAAATGCAAAAACGTCCTAGGGTGAGGATTAAAAAAAAAAAGTGTGAAGTTTTGGAAAGTTGTAGTGAATGTATTTCTTTTCTTTCTTTTTTTTTTGACAACAAAAGTTATATTTTTTATTTATTCACACCAGACAGCTATTGTTATATTAGCGGTTGTCATTTTTTAAATTTGACAATCTAAGGGAAAAGAGGTCAGTGCCCCTGACTAAATAGTTAAGTGTTGCATGTTTTAAAATTTCCTGCCGCCCACCAGTTGAAAATTGCTGAAGTACATTGTAATCACTTAAATGCTATCTCCTTCTAATGGAATGAAATGGAGAGATGGAACCTCTAAACAAGGTCTTTCTTCTGAAAATTATCCATCTGCTCTTCCAATGGCATTGTATCTTTGATGATTCTCAACTTTGGATAATTGGCTCTTCAGTTTCTTTAAATGGTGCCTGTACTTAGATCCACTCGGTTGCGGTTTGTCCCCGGCCCTGGTTGGGGCTGTGTGGGTGGCAGCCACTGGACGTGTCTCTCTCATGTCAATGTTTCTCTCTCTCTCTCTCCCCCCTGGACTCCATCTTGGTTGCAGTTTGTCCCCAGCCCCAGTTGGAATTGTGTTGGTGGCAACCACTCGATGTGTCTCCCTTGCATCGATGTTTCTCCCCCCCCCGCCCCTCCGTGAATGTATTTATTTTCTTTAGTTCAGATCTTGAGCTTAAAAGTGTGTTAGATCTTTTTTTTAATTTTTTAATTCTCACTGAGAACATTTTTGCATTTATCTTCAGATGAAGCAGGAAGGAGAGAGGGAGGAGGACAGAGAGAGAAACATTGACGTGAGAGAGACACATCGACTGGTTGCCATCCACACGCCCCTGCAACCGAAGTATGTGCCCTTAGCGGAACCAAACCCAGGACTCTGTGGTCCACCGGCCCATGCTCTAACCGCTGAGCCAAACCAGCCAGGGAAAAAGTGTGTTAGCTCTTAAAAGCTAAGTTATGTATGCCCATTTCCCAGATTGTCCTTTGAAGCCTGGGAATAGTTAATAACTTAATTTGGCCTATGGGTTATTGAGGGAAAATGGTTTTCCAAAAATTAATATTAAAAAAAAAAAAAGGTTTGGGAAGGTCTGTTTTTGAAATATCTGACCAAACTATAGGACTAGAAAATTGCAGACACCTGTTAACTGGGTTTGGGAACTATCCACACTTCTGAAATACCTTGGAACTTTTATTTAAGTGGAAAAAGATGATTTAATAATTTACACTGCTTCTACTATTGTGAATATTTACTGGTATGGGTACCAGGAAATGAATGACCTATGAAAACATTTCAGTCAGAATTTGGAGATGGAGAATTTAGGTGCCTGCAACTTATTATTTTAATGATTACATATATTACGTTGCTCTGATGCTAGTTTTTAGTGTTTCCACCTATATGACAAATTCATATTTAATGTGCTTTTGCAAAGGGGGAAAGATGTGAGAGGAGCTGACATTTATAGGCCAGATTCCAGGCCACGGGATTTGTGTGTGTGGTCCCATCTAATCCTCTCTGTGTCCCTAAGAAGATAGGGATTCTTATATCAGTTTTATGGAGTGGAAACTGAGACTTAAAGAGGTTAAGCAAGGTGCCAGACTTTTTCTACTTTTATCTGTCTTAAACACAGTCATATCTTTTTAAAAAATGAGATTATTGCCCTGGCCCATGTGGCTCAGTGGTTGGAGTGCAGGCTGGGGTTCAGACCCTGAGCTTACTCTGGGATTAAAAAAAATTTTTTCTTTATTGATTTAAAAAAATTTTTTTTTAGAGAGGTAGGGAGCGGGAGAGAGAAATAGAAATATTGATGAGCGAGAACATCAATTGGCTGCCTCCTGCATACCCCCCACTGGGGATCAGGCCCACAACCTGGGCATCTGCCCTGACCAGGAATTGAACCAGCAACCTTTTGATGCATGGGTCAATGCTCAACCACTGAGCCACACTGGCTGGGCTGCTCTGGGATTTTAAATTGCAAAGGCTTGTGGGCATTCTCATCTGATTCTTTCTTCATCTGGCAGGACACTGGTTGGATCACACAGGTCTTATGTTTCTGGCGGTGTTTAAATATGATGTGCTAATCCATTTGTATGTCAGTGAGGCAGGGCAGGAGTTCTGCCTTAATGTTAAACATTCCATCTAAGGCAGGCTCCTAATTCAAGAATTTAGCCTTTATTTCCCCCTATAGTTCGTGTGTTTATTGCATTTGTGTTTTAGATGCTCGTCAGAAACTTGAGTCTCCTCCAAAAGAGAAACATAAAAAGAACAAAGAAAAACATAAGACCAAGAAAGAGCACAGACGGAAGAAAGAGAAGGTGAGTAACTTCTGGGCATCCCGGGGTCAGTGTGTGGGGGTCTGTGGCTCCTGCGTCTGTTGTCTAGACAAGCCCCCAGGTGTCACACATTGAAGAGAGTATCTCGTGGCTAAAATGGAGGCACATGGGTTTTTCGACATCTATCTTTCAGATGGAATATTTTCATTTGTTCAGTTGTACTTTAAAAAGTGTTTAATTTGTGAGCATTAAAAAGTAGGGAGCCCTGGCCGGTTTGGCTCAGCGGTTAGAGAGTCGGCCTGCGGTCCAGAGAGACCTGGGTTCGGTTCCCGCTAAGAGCATATACCTTGGTTGCAGTTTGTCCCTGGCCCTGGTTGGTCGTGCAGGTGGCAGCCGCTCGATGTGTCCCTTTCACATCGATGTTTCTCTCTCTCTCTCTTCCTCTCTCTCCCTCCCAGTCTATCTGAACAAAAGAATGGAAAAATGTCCTTGGGTGAGGATAAAAAAAAAAAAATTAGGGAAAAGGACATTTAAGTATCTTTGAGTAATTGTTTATTATTATTATTTTAATCCTCACCCAAGGATATTTTTTATTTATCTTCAGATAGAGTGGGAGGGAGAGAGAGAGAAAGATCGATGAGCGAGGGACACGTTGACCAGTTGCCTCCTGCATGACCCTGACCAGGACCGGAGACTAACCACAACTGAGGTACGTGCCCTTGACTGGAATCAAACCCATGACTCTTTGGTCCATGGGCCGATGCTCTAACTGCTGAGACAAACCGGCCAGGGCAATGGTTGATTATTAAATAATAAAAGTTTTATTTGATTATTCATTCAATATTAAATGAAGGTATTCTTTTGAAAATCTCTCAAATACTTTGTCATCATTACATAGAGATGTTGGTCCATAGCTTGGCATTTGAAGTAAAGAAAACCTGGATGAGGAGTGTGCTTACTGTTGACATCTGTCATCTCATTGTCCACGTCTTCTTTTCATTTAGGCACAGGCTTTTCATTCAGCTAATGTCAGTGTTGGGTATCCAAAGTAGTAGAATTGATTAGCAACCGATCCCTTATTGACCATCAGAAAAAAGGATTCCTGAGCATAGGAGATGAGGAAAGTTCACTTGTAGTGAAAGGAAAAAATTGGTGCTGACAGGTTCAGAAACCAAATTCATTTGTTTCTTACCAGTGTATCTGCTGTTCTCTGATTTTCAGCCAGTTTCTTCTTTGTGCATGTTCAGGGTGTTTGCCATCCTGATGTACAGTTTATCACATATGCCTAACAAGATGGACCAGTCAGGTTCACGGAAGTGGCAGGGGTCACCTTGGATAAGATGGGGGCTAAGTGTCAAGACAGTATCTTGCTACATCAGCTTGGCTCTGCTGTGCCTGTTCCCAGAGAACAGCTGTATGAGTGGGGGCACCAGGGAGAGCGCACGGCTGTGTGTGCCTCGTCTGTCCCGCACTAGGTAAAGCTCACCCCAAATGAGGTGTTGCTTTTGTTTCTGAAGGATTCCAGCAATCAAATGCCCATTAGCCTGCCATTGCACTGCATTAGGGAGGGAAACACCTGTGTGAGTGTGTGTGCCAGCAACTCTTCTTCTTTTTTTTTTTTAAGAAAAAGAAACACCGGAAGCACAAACACAAAGGCAAGCAAAAGAATAAAAAGTCAGAGAAAAGTAGTAGTTCTGAGAGTTCCGACAGCAGTGACAGCCAGAGTGAAGAAGGTCCTGCAGACATGTCACCCCAGGAACTGCTGAGACGGTAGGCAGTGGTTTGCAGAAACCTTTCAAAGACTCGTTAAAATCTTAATGTATTTGCTTAGAGGAAAATGTCAGAAATGATAAACTTGCATATAAAAATGTTAATTTTTAATTACAGAAGTAATATGTGAATATATTATCATTGTGAAAATTTATGCCTTAGAGAAAAAACTTAAAGTGGCCCTTGACCAATTCCCCAAACTTCTCCTCTTTCCACAGTAAAATCTGCTGTCAGTTTCATATGTAACTTACAAAAATTTTTTGCACAACTATACACCTGTAACATACATACACACACATTTTGTTACAAGCTTTTGTTATAAATAACAAAATTTTATGTAGCATTAATAGGGTATGAACATTTAGAATGAATGAATACTGCCCAGTTGTTTCCAACAGTTGTTGTATCAGTTCAAAGTATAAAAGCATTTTACATCAAATATAAATGGTACAAAAATGTTTGCTAGTATGATGGGTAAAGAATGGCATCTCATTTAAAAAGTTTTTTTATTTTTATTTTTATTGATTTTAGCGAGGAAGGGAGGAGAGAGATAGAAACATCAATGAGAGAGAACATCGATGAGAGAGAACATCAACTGGCTGCCTCCTGCATGCCTCCCACTGGGGATTTAACCCACAACCTGGGCATGTGCCCTGACCGGGAATTGAACCGATGACCTCTTGGTGTATGGGTTGACGCTCAACCACTGAGCCATACCGGCCGGGCTATGGCATTTCATTTTAGCTTGCATTTCCTGGATTATTCGTGAGGCTGAGCGTCCTCTCCTATGTGTCTCAGCCTTTGCCATGTGCCCTTTTGTGAATAGCTGCTCATGTCCCCCGCACAGTGTTCTGTTTTCTGTTCGATTGTTTTACTGGTTTTAGTAATTAAAAAATAATTGTGGATAGTAATCCTTTGTGTTTCAGTGTATTGCCTGTCATGTAATTTTAACTGCCTTTGTTGTACAGAAGCTTTCATCTTTGGTGCATTCAATTTTACCAATTTTCTTGGTTAGTATGTTTTACCTTTTTGTCTTTTAAAGGCCTTCCTTCACCCAAGATTTTACACACCCACACACACTATTTTCATGCTTTTGTAATTTTTTTTTTCCAAAGAGAGTGGGGTAGGTATCTAACTTATCTTTCTCCAAATGAATAGCCGGTCATATTGGTCAGGGTGAGTTAGCCAGCAGCGATGAACAGAACCCCTGCATCCCAGTGTCGCGGCACAGTGAAGCACTAGTAAAACTGAGCTGTTTGGTCATTTAGTTCATGTCTAACTTTTCTTCTCTGTCTCTTTTACTTCCTCTTCCAGGCTAAAACATCTCCCCCTAAGGAGGCAGTGACCAAACTCTGCCCTGGCCTGTTCCAAAACCCGATCTCCTCCGTGATGGAAGCCCATTGATTGCTCAGTCAATACATTGTACAGATTGTGTTTATATGTAAATTCGTGCTGTAAAATAATTTTTAAAGCCTTGACATTTCAAAGGCTGCCTTGGAAGGTTGCAGAAATTGGTTTCTATTTTTAACTTCAGTTAATGTCAAGGAAAAAAAATTCCGACTGTACAGTTTAATTAAAATGGAATTTTTCTATTTCCTTCTTGATTTTTTTTTTTTTTATTTCCTGAAAAAGAAATGAAAAGTGACGATTTTCTCTGGTTTTGTTATGAAAAAGGCCAAGTCCACATCAGGGCAGTTAGACTTCCCTAAGAACTTGTACAAGAGGGGCATGGTCATTTCCTCTCCGCTCCTGCAGTTTTTCCCTCCAGGGTCTGGCTCCTCCCTCTGGTGGTTGATGGTGGCAGCCAGTCCAGTGGGCCGAATAGTGCCAGGATCCTGGCTGGTGGCCTCTGCCTGTCAGGGTGGATGTCACCAACGTACCCCAGGCACCAAGAGCCGGAGAGTAGGCGCCCACCCTGCTCCCTGCTCTGAGGCTGCCTTATCTGCACTGATGGGACTTTTGACAAAAGTAAATTATAGAGGTTATTACATTATGAAAATAACAGCATAGAAAGCTCAGAACAATTTTAAAAGGAGAAAGAAGAAAGGAAAGCACTTCTACCCACCCGGAGATGACAACCCTTGATATTTTGTAATATCTAGCCAGTCTTTTTCTTCTTTTTTTTATCCTCACCCCAGGTTATGTTTACATTTATCTCCAAACAGAGCTGGAGGGAGAGAGGAAGGACTAGAGAAACATCCACGTGAGAGAGAGACATGGATTGGCTGCCACCCGCTCGACCCCAACCCGGCCAAGGACAAACTGCAACGGAGGTACCTGCCCTTGGCCGGAATCGAACCCGGGACTCTTTGGCCCCAGGGCGATGCTCTAACCGCTGAACCGAGCGAGCCAGGGCTCCAGTCTTTTTCTAGCCGTGGGACTGCTACCCGAGGAGCCCTGACATTTTGTTCTGTTATTTTCATTGGCGTTGTGACAGCTAATTCCCTCATGCTCTTACATACTGTGTGTACCCGCCCCTAATAATTACGTCTTCATCCAGAGCCTATTCCCCGGCTTACTGACCACTTCTCTGTTGTTGAAATAAAGTGGGTTGGCGGAGAATCCTACAGAGGCGGAGGGCGCAGGGAGACTCTCCTGGGAGAGGGAGCCAGGAAGACGGAAAGCAAAGTCTGCAGGATGGGGCCGCCGCTTTCAGCGCGTTTCTGCGATGAGAGGAGGCAGCGAGATTGCGAGATTGCGGCCCAGCGTGGGGGCGTGTCAGACCCCAGGGCTGCGCGCGCTGCGGGGAAGGGGGGGCGTGGGCGCGCGGTGCCACCGTTTGCAGCCAGGCCCTGGTGCTGGCTACTGGCAGGCAAGGCTCTAAGATGGCCTCCCCGCCACCGCATACCTGTAGCTCCCCAAAATACTCAGACAAGGGTGGGAAGACAGCTCCCCAAGAAAAGAGCATGGAGCCAATCTTGGTCCCAGTAGCCGATGGCGCACTTGGGCCCAGAAAACTACCTTGGGCGACCCTGGTCAAGGTCATCAGCCACTTCAAGCAGTCGATCATGGACATACGTCAAAGTCACATGCTGTCCCGCTTCAACCCTCTGGCCATAGACCAGAAACTGTCCGAGAAGCACAAGTACCCGATGCCTGAAAAGAAGTTCTGGGGTAACCACGAGCCCCTCTCCAAGGTTAGAACTGCCCTGGTTGGGAGGGGGCAGCTTGTTCCTCACACATGGGGAAGGCAAGAGCCTGCCTGGGCACGGTGACAGACACACTTGGCTTCCCCAGGGCCCCTAGTGAAGCCCTGGGCCCAGCCCTCTGCCTGAGGCACACCTAGTGGGTAAAGGCTCAGAAGTGGCCAGGGTGGCCCCCAGGGCTTCCGCTGCAGCCTCTGGGGAAACAGGACTGTCCTGGGAAGGGAGTGGGCCAGGAGGACAGTGTTTCAAAGCAATTACCCTGACCCACCTAGACGCTGCGGTCTCCAGCTGAGCCTGGAAATATTTCCACGGTGCCGTTCCCAAGTGCATATCCGAGGGTCAAGGAAGGAGCTCTCCCTACCCATTAAACAGCACCAGCAGCAACAGAAAACACAGAATAGCAATAATAAAGTAAAAACATAAAAACCTAACAACACTACTTTGTATTCTCAGTGATATCTGAGAGACATTGCATTGATAAATGTGTTTATTAATTATTGAGATGTTTCCTCAAAAAAATTAAAAATTGAACTGCCATTTGACTCAGTGATCCCACTTTTAGGAATACATGTATCCTAAGAAGCCTGAAACACCAATCAGAAAGAATATATGTACCCCTATGTTCATAGCAGCACTCTGTGCAATCGCTAAGATCTGGAAACAGCCCAAGTGTCCATCAGTAGATGAGTGGATAAAAAAGATGTGGTACATTTACACAATGGAGTACTATGCAGCTGTAAGAAAGAAAGATCTCTTATCCTTTGAGACTACATGGAGGGACCTGGAGAATATTGTGCTAAGCGAAATAAGCCAATCAGAGAAAGACAAATATCATATGATCCCACTCATTTGTGGAATATAATGAACAATACAAGCTGATGAACAAAACAGACCCAGCCCTGGCCGGTTTGGCTCAGTAGTTAGAGCGTCGGCCTGCGGTCCAGAGAGACCTGGGTTCGGTTCCCGCTAAGGGCGTGTACCCGCGTGTACCTCGGTAGCAGTTTGTCCCCGCCCCTGGTTGGTCGTGCGGGTGACAGCCACTCGATGTGTCCCTTTCACATCACTGTTTCTCTCTCTCTTCTTCTCCCTCCCTCCCACTCCAGCTGAACAAAAATAGAAAAAAATGTCCTGCCCTGGCCAGTTTGGCTCAGCGGTTAGAGCGTCGGCCTGTGGTCCGGAGAGACCCGGGTTCGGTTCCCGCTAAGGGCGCGTACTTCGGTTGCAGTTCGTCCCCGGCCCTGGTTGGTCATGCGGGTGGCAGCCACTCGATGTGTCCCTTCACATCGATGTTTCTCTCTCTCTCTCTCCCTCCCACTCTATCTGTACAAAAAATGGAAAAATATCCTCGGGTGAGGATAAAAAAAAAAAAAAAAAAAAAAAGTTTAAGAAAAAAATGTCCTCGGGTGAGGATTAAAAAAAAAAAAAACAGACCCAGAGACATAGAAGTAGGGTACAGACTGACGAACCTCAGAAGAGGGAGACAGGGGGGAGGGAAGAGATAAACCACAGAACTTATATGCACGTATACGTAACCAAAGGACAGACAACAATGCTTGGGGGGTGGGTAGGCAGGATCCGGAGGAGGGTATCTAGGGGGGAAAAGGAGAAACATCTGTAAAAAAGTAAATTAATAAAGATTGAAAAAAATAAAATAAAACAAGTATTGTCAGCTGGAAAGAGGAAATAATCTGTAAACAGAGAAAATTCTCGGGGATGATAAAGAGGATTTCCAAACCAAAATTCTCCATCAAGGCTTTAACATCGGAGAGGAGACCTGAAACAGAAGAAGAGAGAAACAAGCTCATGGGATTCTCTGAGAGCTCAGAGAAAAGAAAAAGAGAGAGAGAGAGAGGAATAATAATCATGAGGGAAAAGATAAGGGGCTCACAGGAGAAATCCAGAAGAACCAATGTACATATGAGAGGTGGAGGCGAGGGCGAGGGAGAGAGAGGAGGGAAGGAATGAAGACAATCTTCCCAGGCTGAAGAAAGACTGAAGTGCTCTCATGGAAAGAGATGGTCAAGTTCAACGAAAGATCGGAAAGAAATATAGCCATCACCTGGTGAATAACTACATTTGTTGCAAGGATAGGAGCAAGGCTGTCCTACACACAGATGGAAAAACCTGGAATCAGATTAAGATCTAGGCTTCTCCCGCTGTCCTCAGAGCAGAGTCCACAACTGGGATTATCCACTGGCTGGCTGTCCCCACCGCCCTGCACTGGCGTCTCCATGGGGAAGTCTGAAGAGAAAGCAAAGAGTGTACCAGCACTTTTCTGTGCTTTGAGTTTTACTATTTATTCTGATTTTTTAAAAGTAAAGTTAAAGGTGAGCACAGATTGTATTGCTTTAAAATTAATATTCTCAACAGAACATCCCCAAGATTCAAATTCAATAGATATAAACGTTTTTTTAAAAAACAATTAAAAGTCTCCTTTGGCACCCTTGCCCTTCAACTACCTCGTTTCTCTCTAGAGAGGCAACAAATGTTTCCAGTTTCTTCTGTATCCTTACAGAGATGTTTTATGCATTTACCAGCACGTACATATATATCTCCTCATTTTGTTGTTGTTGCTGTTGTTTTCAGATAGAGGGGGAGGGAGAAAGGGAGGAGGAGAGAGAGAGAAACATCAACATGAGAGAGACACATTGGCTGCCACCCACAAAACCCCAAATGGAGCAAGGGACAAACTGCAACTGAGGTAGGTGCCCTTAGCGGGAACTGAACCCGGGTCTCTCTGGTCCTTGGGCTGATGCTCTAAACGCTGAGCCAAACCAGCCAGGGGTCCTCATTTTTGCATAAATTGAGGCATACCTTATAGACGCCTTTTGCACTTAAAAATTTTTTTTAAATTTTCACCTGAGGACATGCTTAGAAGGGGCAGCTGATCAACGTTTCTCTCTCTCTCTCTAAAAAATCAATAAAAACATATTAAAAAAAATAAATAAAGAAACTACTGCCTAATCCAAGTTTAGAAAGATTTACGCCTATATTTTCTTCTAAGAATTTTGTAATTTAGCTCTCATATTTAGGTTTTTGATCCATCTGAGTTAGTTTTGTATATGGTGTGAGGTAAGTTATCCAACTTCATTCTTTGTCATGTGGATATTTACTTGTCCCAGCACCATTTGTTGGAAAGACTATTCTCTCTCCATCATTAATTATCTTGGCACCCTTGCCAAAATCAATTGACAAAAAAAAATATGAGAGTTTATTTTGGACCCTCAGTTGTATTTTATCTATATGTCTATCTTATGCCGGTGCTATACTATCCTGATTAATAAGTTTTGAAATTGGGAATTGTGAGATCTTCACCTTTTTTTTCTTTCTTTTTTTAAAAAAAAATGTCTTCCATTCATTGATTCTAAAGAGAGAGGAAGGGAGACAGAGAGGAAAAAAACCCCACTGATTTGTTATTCCAGTTGTTCATGCACTCACTGGTTGGCTCTTGTATGTGCCTTGACCGGGGATCAAAACCGTAACCTTGACATATCAGGACGATGCTCCAACTAACTGAGCTACCCAGTCAGGGCCACCCTTTTTTTTCAAGATTGTTTTGGCCCTGGCTGGTGTGGCTTCAGTAGTGAGAGCATCAGCCCATGCACCAAAGGGTCAAAGGTTCGATTCTTGGTCAAGTGCACGTACCTGCGTTACAGATTGGCTCCCTAGTCCCAGTTGGGGCATATGTAGGAGGCAACCAATAGATGTGCTTCTCTCCCATAGATGTTTCTCTCGCTCTTTCTCCCCTTCTCTCCCTCCCTTCCACACACTCTAAAATAAATAAATAAATAAATAAATAAATAAATAAATAAATAAATAAATAAAAAAAAATGGTAAAAATATCCTCGGGTGAGGAGTAACAACAACAACAAAAAGATTGTTTTGGCTATTCTACTTTTTTTATTTTTTAAAAATATGTTTTTATTTATTTATTTATTTCAGAGAGAGGAAGGGGGAAGGAGAGAGAGAAACATTGATCAATTGCCTGCCTCATGCACCTGGACCAGGGATTGAACCCACAACCTGGGTATGTGCCCTGACTGGGAATTGAACCAGCAACCTTTTTGGTGCATGAGACAACGCTCAACCAATTGAACCACACCAGCCAGGGCTATTTTGCTTCTTTTGCATTTCCATATAAATTTTAGGATCAGCTTGTCAATTTCAGCTAGGATTTTTTTGATGGGATAGTGTTAAATGTGTAGATAATTTTTAAGGGTATTTTTATCTTAACAAGAGCAGGTCTGCTAATCCATGAACATAGAATGTTTTCCCATTTATTTAGGTCTTTTAAATTTTTTCTCAACAATTTTCAGAGTATGTTTTACACTTTTTGTTAAATTTATTCCTATTCTGATGTTTTTACATATGGATTTTTTTTTTAGATCATTCATTGCTAATGTATAGAAATACAATTGATTATTAAAATATTGATCTGGTATTCTGCACCCTGCTGAACTTGTTCAGTCTATCTTTTTCTCAGATTCCCTTTCAAATTCTGACCGGACACCAGCAAACTGTGAGTTCTTGTCACTTCTGTGTGGATGACACAAAGCTCCTCAGCAGCTCCTTTGACTACACCGTGAAGCTGTGGGTAGGTGGCCCCGTGTTGGGAGGAACCAACACATCCTGTAAGCTCGTCACCTCTTGTGGAGACTTCCCCAGACTGAGTCCAGGCTCTCAAGGATCACGGGTCTTAGAGAGGCCTTTTTTTTAAAAAAAAATTATTTGTCCTTTATTGATTTTAGAGAGAGAGGAAGAGAAAGAGAGAGACAGAGAAACATCAATGAGAGAGAACATCGATTGGCCGCCTCCTGCATGCCTCCTACTGGGGATCGGGTCCACACCTGGGCATGTGTCCCGACCGGGGATTGAACTGGCGACCTCTTGGTGCATGGGTTGACACTCAACCACTGAGCCACACCGACCAGGCTAGAGAGGCCTTTTTAAGCCAAGTGAGGGCTCACACTAGTGTCGAGTCACTGGAGAGAGAGGAGGTTAGTGTAGCTGCTGTTAGACTGTTGGTTTGGAAGCAGTGGGGGCAGGGGATAGAGACCACTGGACTGGGAGCTGCTCACCTTTTTTTTTTTTTTTAATTAGCCCTCACCTGAGAATATTTTTTTCATTGATTTATTTTTTAGAGAGAGTGGAAGGGAAGGAGGTGTGGGGGACAGAGAAAGAGAGAGAGAGAGACATCGATGGGAAAGAGACACATCGATTGGTTGCCATGGCCTTAACTGGGGCCAGGGATTGAACCTGCAACCCAGGTACGCACCCTTGACCGGGAATCAAACCTGTGACCCTTCATGCAAGGGCTGACACTTTAACCACTGAGCCACACCGGCCAGGACAAACTCCTCACTTTTTGTTGGAGGGTCTACCTGGGGTGTCTCAGCTCTGTCATCTCTTTGAGTCTCCTTCTTATTTGGAAAACTGAGTTCTGTCCACAGCGACGGTATGGTCAGGCCTTGTTGGCCACAGAGGACAGAAAAGTGGGACCTGTTTGTGAGGGGGTTTGGAGAGGCAGATCAGTGTCCCGAGGTGCAGGAAGCCAGGAACGGGACAAGGTTGCAGAGAGGGGCTCACCAGGGCTCTTCCGAAGCCTTCTGGGCATAGCCAGCAGACCCTGGCAGGCCTGTTTAGGGCCATTGCTGGTCAGTCAGGAGCAGGGCTGGGGGATGGATGGCCACAGATGACCATGTGGCTGGAGCTGGGCTCATGGGGAAGGACAGTCAGTTCTGAGTCTTGTCATCTCCTCTGGCTTCAGGGACAGGAGAGGGTCAGGGTGGAATGAGTCAGGGCTGGTGCCTGGGTCCCGGTTCAGGTAACCGGGTGGAGGATAGCATAGAGGAGCATCTTCTGTGTCATTGTGGGTACCAAGGCCAGGCAGACAAGGCAGGAGGATTTGGGAACTGTCCAAGTGCTTCAGGCCCCATATTTGGGACCCACTAGCTGTGCCACCCTGGGTGATGTTTTTTCACCCTTTCGACCTGGACAAGAGTCATGGGACCCTGTGGGTCTCATCCTCGGCTGTTACAACAAGCTCAGGGCTGAGGTGGAGCTCAGTCCACAACTTCAGTCAATGTCTCAGTGACCTCTCGCTCTTTATCCCTTTCTCCTGTTGATTCGAGGATGCTGAGGATGGATCTGTTGTTCGGAACTTTGAGCACGGGCCCCAAGCTCCTGTTTTAGAGTGCAGTGTCACGGCAGACAGCAGAAGGTGACCTTCCCTTCCTTCACCCTGGGCAGGGATGGTGAGAGTGAAGAGGCAGGCCAGGGTGCAGCACACCAGGGACAGCCGAGTAAAAGCAACATGGGAATCTATCTTAGGTAGCGGACAAAGGTTGCCATGGAAACATGCAGCCTAACACAATAAATGTACATTTTTGTTATCTTACGATGTGTACGGTAAAACATTTCGGAATAACATGAGCTGTCTATTAAAGTATTTTTTTCTGTTAAAAATTAGACATGTGAGCAGAAGTGGTTGATCCTCGTAGATATCACCTTAGAAGAAGGAGGAGGTCAGTGGGAGATCAGAAGAGATGAAAGGGCAGATCTGGCCGGCGGGGGGCAGCAGGGAAGAGAGGGGTGCTGGAGTGCTTCTGAGTCAGGTTCCCGCTGTGTTCATGGAGAACCACTGCTCTCCAGGGGCGTCATGGAGCATCTTTAGAGAGAGTTCAGCAGTATTTGCAATCTCGGTCCTAAATTATCAAAATGTTCCATGAGGAAACCAAATGCATCCTTGTCTCTGTTGTAAAGACCCAATCCTGCCATGTTGTTTCCAGAGTTGCGGCAGCAGCCTATGATAAATCCCTGAGGACTTGGGACCTTGAAACAGGCAAGCTGCTGGTAAGCATGCCCCGCCCCGTGGAGATGTCGCAGCACAGGGTCTTGACTGGGCCTTAGGGGTCTTGGGCTGGGCATGGGGTGGGACGAGAAGCCAGTCTTCCAGGAAAAGAGAATTTTCTTGGGGACCCAAGATGATGGAGGGTGGGCACTGGGGAAGGAAAGCAGGCAGAAGGAGGGCTTCTGCTTGAAGGATGGATACTCAGGAAGAAGTGGGATGGAGGTGGGGTGGGGGTAAAGGGTCATGGCATTTCGGGCTGAGGGAAAGGGATCCTCCCCTGTGAGGTGTCTGGATTTGATGAGGCAGGAAGTAGTGCTGAGGCCATAGGAAAAGGCCCCCAGGCCAAAGCATGAGGATTCTGGTTCCTCCCCAATCTATTCTCCATCTTGGAAGGGCCACCACCCATCCATCCAAACCACTCCGAGATCCCCTCTCTCTCCTGCCCAGTGCCCAGGCAGCCCCGCCCTGCTCAGGCATCTCTTCAGGGTCTCCTGTCCCATCCCCGATGCCCTTTCCCCAGAAGCTCCCCATTGCCTCTCCTCTCCCTTCCTCCTCTTTTCTCTCCTTAAAAAAACCAATCTTTCTCTTAGTGCAAAGATCAATTTATATTCAGCGTAAAAATATTTTAGAAAGACAAGATAAGCCAAGATTTAAAAAACAAAATAAAAAACTGCAAAGATTATACTTAACATCTTACTGTCTCTTTTCCTGTTTACACATGTACACAGACAAGTATGTTCTGTTAAGAACATCATATCATTTAAGTACACATCAACATCATGTTTTTTAATGGATGTGTGGGTTCCATGGGGCAAATAGGTCATGCTGTAACATTCTCTGTTACAGGCATTAAAGCTGTTTTCACTTTATCACAAACAGTGATACAATGAGGGAAGTTTGCATAAATTTTGTTTTTTAAATTTTTGTTGATTTCAGAGAGAGTGGAAGGGAGAGGGAGAGAGAGATAGAAACATCAATGAGAGAGAACATTGATTGGTCACCTCCTGCATGCTCCCCACTAGGGATCAGGCCCACAACCTGGGCATGTGCCCTGACCGAGAATTGAACCAGTGACCTCTTGGTACATGGGTCAATGCTCAACCCCTGAGCCACACCGGCCAGGCTGCATAAATTTTTATACATATGTACCAATATTGTTTTTGCATAGATAGCTGGATTTTATTGCTAATTTGGTATAGAAACATAGTGCTATTTTTGAAAGTATGTTTTTATTGATTTTTTAGAGAGAGAGGAAGGGAGAGAGAGAAACACTGATGAGAGAGAAACATTGATTGGCTGCCTCCTGCACGCCCCCTACTGGGGATCGAGCCCCAAACCCAGGCATGTACCCTGACTGGGAATAGAACTGGGACCTCTCAGTCCATGGGACGACGCTCAATCCACTGAGCTACACCAGCTGGGTGAAACATGGTGATTAAAAAAAAAAAAAAAATTGTATTTACTTAGAAGCAGTCAGAATGTCAACAAACAGCTGCAACTTTTTTTTTGCAATTACAGAGTGGTATTCAGTTAACAGAACAACAATTATTTCATATAAGCTGCATCAGAGACAATTTAAGATGAAAAAACTACCATCCCCATATATAACTAATAGGTGCTGTGCACCAACAAGAACCTGCTTTAAATTTCCGTGCCAATTCACAACCCCCGTACTGTACCAGGCAAGGTTAGTGGCTACTGAAAATACCACCAGGACAGGGCTATCTAAAGACACATTCGATAGTGTGTTAACTATACAAAAAAAGACACTGTACAGTTTAAAAACAAATCTTACACAGCTTTATATTTTAATTTTTTTTCTTTAAAAGGAGTGAGTTGTGTACAAGGGGGTGAAATGCTTTATAGACAAGGACAAAAACTGCGCTAGAACCAACTTATTCATCATCATCATCATCTTCTTCATCCTCCTCCTCCTCTTCATCCTCTTCATCTTCTTATCATCCTCCTCTTCCTTCTTTTTCTTGCTTTTTTCAGCCTTGACAACTCCCTTTTTGGCCACATCGAACTTTCCTGAAGCTCGGCGTGCAGCAATATCCTTTTTGTATTTCTCCTTCAGCTCAGCAGCCTTCTTCTCATAAAGCTGTTTGTCATCTGCAGCAGTGTTATTCCAACATCTCTCCCAGCTTCTTCGCAACATCACAGATGGATAGGCCGGGGTGCTCTCCTTTGATTTTTGGGCGATACTCAGAGCAAAACAAGAAAAACGCCGAAGGAGGCCTCTTGGGTGCACTGGGATCCTTGAATTTATTTTTTGCTTCCCCTTTAGGGGGGATAGAAGTTTTCATTTCTCTTTCATAACAGGCCTTGTCCGCCTTTGCTCTGTCTTCCGATTTTCCTTTCTCTTTAGCAGACATGGTCTTCCACCTCTCTGAGCACTTCTTAGAAACTCTGAGAAGATGACTGAAGCATCTGGGTGCTGCTTCTTGTGCTTCTCCCGGCAAGTTTGCACCAAGAAAGCATATGCTGACATTTTGCCTCTCGGCCTCTTAGGATCTCCTTTGCCCATGTTTACTTTTCCTCAGCGAGCACAGTCACCCAGTGCCCGTCCGGCTCGCACTGGCCCTGGCGCTGTCTCTCGAAACATGGTGATTTTTAAACTGCCCTCCAGAGATCTGTGGCAAGACATAGCTCAGACACGGAGGAGAGCCCACTAGCACATGCCAGATGTCATCATTTAAAAAAATGTGGTCAATTTTGTATGTGAACAACGAGACTAGCATTGATCTTGAAGCATTTTCCCAAATGTTTGTTTCTTCTCTCGTAAATGGCCTATTCTTGTCTCCTGCCAGTTTCTCTCTGTTGGATGCTTTCTTTCTTTTAACCTTTTTCAGTGCATTAATGTATTTTTGTTGTACACACCATCCGTGCCACTTGCCCACTATAGGGCTGAATTAATATTCCACTGCTGCTTGATACGTTACTTCAAAACTTAGCAGCTTCAAACAACACACATTTATTATCTCACACGGTTTCTGACAGAAATCTAGGAGCAGGTTAGCTGGGTGGGTCTGGCTCAGGTCCCCTGTGAGGTCACAGTGAAGATACCACGTGGGGCTACAGTCATCTGAAGGCTCACCTGGGGCTGAAGGATCCCCTTCCAAGATGGTGTCCTCACCTGGCTATGGGCAGGGGGCCAGCTCCTCTCCACGTGGGTTTCTCCATAGGGGGCTTGAGTGTCCTCAGGACACGGCAGTTGACTCCCCCAGAGCAAGTGATCCGAGAGCCAGGAGAGGAACCCGTGGTTTCTTTTATGACCTAGTCACACACGGTCACTTCTGCCATATTCTGTTTATTCGAGGCGAGTCACTAAGTCCATCCAGCCCACACTCAAGAAGCAGGGAATTCGGTTCCGCCTTTTAGAGGGAGGGCTGTCCAAGAGCTGGTGGGCATTGTTAACACTGTCACAATGGCAGTACCACAGTTGTTAAAGACAGGCCGATCACCCCTTCCCAGAATGCTGAGCAGCTCATTGTCGCCTTATTGTGGTTTGGTGCCAGCCTTCTCCAGAGGACTGAGAGTTGCTTGGGGGACTGGGGCTGTAGCATCTCATCTATGGGGCCAGGCAATCCCACTTGCTTACCACAGTGAACAGGGATCAAGTTGGTCATTACCAGAACCTTGCTGCCGGTGCTGCTGGGTGCCCTCCCTATCCTTGTCCATCTATCCTGGACTCAGATGAATCAATTACATTTATTAATTGAATAAGTTCATCAAAACCAAACGAACTTAAAAATTCAGTTTCTTATTTGCACTAGCTCACTACGAGTGCTCACTGGCCACCTGTGGCCAGTGGCTAGGACATTGGACAGCACATAGATGGAACATTTTCACCATCACAGAAAGCTCTACTGAGCAGCTGGGCTAAAGAGAAAACCACCTTTTGATCGTTGCCCTATTTCAGTGGAAGATCAGTCATGAAAGCTTCATATCCTCCTGTAACTTTTCTCCTGATGGTAAATATGTGGTCTCAGGCTTGGATGTGGATCACGGAATCTGCATAACAGATGCAAGAAATGCCAAGACTGTCTCACACCTCAAAGGTGAGTTGGCATGGGCTCCCTGCTCTGTTCTGTCGGTCACGGTAACAGCTGCTTGCTACTTGACCGACTGGCGTTCGATTGCTTTATTTGGTGAAACTGTCTTGATATGAGCCACATAATTAAAGATGGGACACTGATTGATAAAAACACCTACTGTGAATACCAAGATTGGTCCTCATCAGTTAAACTTTTTCTTTCAGTCTTGTGCTTGTAATGAATGAAACAATGTTCTGCTCTAACTCATGTGGACATTTATATGTTCTTCTTCTTTTTTTTTATCCTCACCCGAGGACATTTTTTCCATATTTTGTTCAGATAGAGTGGGAGGGAGACAGAGAGAGAGAGAGAGAGAGAGAGAGAGAGAGAGAGAGAGAGAGAGAAACATCGACGTGTGGTTGCCACCCGCACGACCCAACCAGGGCCGGGGACAAACTGCAACTGAGTTACGTGCCCTTGGCGGGAATCAAACCCGGGTCTCTCTGGAGTGCAGGCTGACGCTCTAACCATAAGCCAAACCAGCCAGAGCCATGTGGATATTTAAAGCCCAATCTTCTGTCGAGTGGAGGCTCAGCCCTCGTAATGTTTTTATCTGTATTTTCTAAATATTAAAATAATAATCATTGCATGTCAGTTTCCTGGTTGTGAGGCTACCATTGGGGGAAACTGGGCATTCAGGATCTCTTTGTATTATCCTTGTAACTGCATGTCAGCTGACAGTTATGGCAAAATTAATTAGTAATAAAAAATACATAATCTTTGTAAAAATATTTGGTAACTGGGTAAAGTCAAAAGTTAAAGGCTGCTATACCTGTCATGCCTCCTCCCCAGAGATGCCTATTATAAACAATATGTTGCTGGGTGGCTTTCCTGAAATGTGTGTGTGTGTGTGTACGTGTGTGTGTGTGTGTGTTTGCACACACAATACTACTTCCCATATGTACTTTATGCCCATGTTTATCAACATGGAACCATGATACGTGCAGTGTCCTAAAGCTTGTATGTTTCCCTTAAGGTATCACACCCTACTCGAGCTCTCCTCACTCTTCAGGTTCTATCTAGCTGCCCACCGTGCTGCTCCATGCCCTGTCCCACCTCCAAACCTTTGCTCATGCTGTTCCTTCTCCCCAGAGCACTCTTCCCGGCCTGCTTCCCTTGATAACTTCTGGGTCCTTCCTTGACCTCTCAGGGCTTCTGCTGGCCAGTGGCTGGGGGGTACCTTGCTCTCCTCTCATGGCCCCTGGCATGCTGTGGGGCATTGCCCACCCAAGGGTGAATCCCCATCAGACTGGAAGCTCTGCTGGACAGGGAGCAGATCGGCCTTACTCCTTGTTCAAAGCCTGGCACATGTGGTGGGCACTCAGCAATGTGTGGGTGAACAGTCCCTAGTAGTGAACAAAACCAGAGTTGTGTTTCTGGAATATTGTCACTGTCTGGGGGAGTAAGTATGAGTCTCTGGGTGGCATGAAGCATGTGGCTTGTAATGTGGACTATGCATAATGAGACCCGTTCCCTGTGCCTAGATCATCACAAAAAATCAGTCACACGTTGCTGCTTTGACCCTGATAGCCAGAAGGTGGCTTCCGTCTCGTTGGATAAGAGCATCAAGATCTGGGATGTTACATCTCAGGCCACTCTACTCACCATCACCAAGTGAGGAGGGGCCCCAGGAAGCAGGCAGCATCCTGCAGCAGGGAGGTGGGCAGGGTCCCCATCCATGCTCTTCTGGATTTGGGCTGTACACCTTCAGCTTGTGAGCCAGCATCCATGTTGGGCATTTCCAACTGGGTTGTGGGTGCTATGAGGAGGCTGGAGAGGGAGAAGGGGAAGGAAGAGGGTAGGCTGGGGAAACCACCAACTGTGGTCTCTGGGCTGGGATAGGCATCAGGTGCATTTGTTTCAATGTAAGCCAACATAATCTCAACTGATTTTGAAGCATGCAAGGAGTAAACATAAATGTTTTGTGATATATATATATGCGCTTCAACTATCAAGCATAATTTAGGAAACTCAAGAGAAGGAAAGTCTAGTGTATTTACTCATATTTTTGCTTACTGTGTTCTGTCGTCCTTTCTGATGTTCCAAGGTTCTTCTACTTTCTATTTAGAAAAACTTCTTTTAGTCACTCTTAGGGTAGGTCTGAGGGCCTCAAATTCTCTTAGTATTCTTTCATATGAAAATGTCTTGATTTCCTTTTAATTCTTGAAGGATATTTTTGCTGGGTATAGAAATCTGGGTTGACAGGGTTTTGTTTTTTTTCTTCCAGCATTTAAAAACTGTCATGTCACATATTTCACATATCTAGAACAAATACTCCAGCCCTGGCTGGTTTGGCTCAACGGTTAGAGCATTGGCCTGCGGTCCACAGAGACTGGGTTCAGTTCCCGCTAAGGGCATGTACCTCAGTTGCAGTTTGTCCCCCCCCCCCCCGCCGGCCCTGGTTGGGTCATGCGGGTGGCAACCACTTGATGTGTCCCTTTCACGCCGATGTTTCTCTGTCTCTCTCTCCCTCTCCCTCTGTCTGAACAAAAGATGAAAAAATGTCCTCGGGTGAGGATAAAAAATTAAAATAGAACAAATACCCCCAAAACTTATATGGAACCAAAAAAGACCCTGAATAGCTGCAGCAATCTTTTTTTTTTTTTGGTACATGCCCCTAGCAGGAACCAAACCCGGGACTCTGGTCCGCAGGCCAGTGCTCCAACCGCTGAGCCAAACCGGCTAGGGCAGCTGCAGCAATCTTAAGAAAGAAGAACAAAGTAGGAGGGATCACAATACTGGACGTCAAACTATAATACAAAGCCATTGAAATAAAAACAGCCTGGTACTGGCACAAAAGCAGGCATATAGATCAATGGAACAGAACAGAGAACCCAGAAATTGACCCAAGCCATTATGCTCAATTAATATTTGACAAAGGAGGCAAGAGCATACAATGGAGTAAAGATAGTCTCTTCAATAAATGGTCTTGGGAAAATTGGACAGGTACATGCAAAAATAAATAAATAAAATTTAACTAGACCAACAACTTACACCATACACAAGAATAAATTCAAAATGGATAAAAGACTTAAATGTAAGTTGTAAAAGCATAAAAATCCTTGAAGAATACGTAGGCAGCAAAATCTCAGATATTACACAGAGTGGAATTTTCACTGGTGCATCGCCAAGCCTAGGGCAAGAAAAACAAACAAAGTAAACAAATGGGACCGCATCAAAATAAAAATCTTCTAAACAGATGAAATGGGATCCCACTATATGGAAGAGAGATTGTGAGACAGAAACATCGATTGATTGCCTCTCATACACACCCTGACTGGGGATTGAACATGCAACCTAAGTATGTGCCCTGACTGGGAATCAAACCCACAACCTTTTGGTGCACAGGACAATGCTCCAAACAACTGAGCCACCTGGCCAGGGCCCATTAAATCCTTTTTTTTTTTTTAATGTCCTCACCCGAGGACACTTTTGCATTCATCTTCAGATAGATCAGGAGGGAGAGAGGGAGGGAGGGAGAGAGAGAGAAACATCAATGTGAGAGAGACACATTGAGTGGTTGCCACCCACACGACCCCAACTAGGGCCAGGGACAAACTGCAACCGAGGTATGTGCTCTTAGTGGGAGCCAAACCTAGATCTCTCTGGACTGCAGGCTGATGCTCTAACCGCTGAGCCAAACCAGCCGGGCTCATCAAATCATCTTTATGATGGCTACTTAAAAATCCTTGTCTGATCATTTTAATATCTGTGTCATCTCAGTGTTGGCATCTGTTGGTTATCTTTCTCATTTATGTTGACATTTTTCTGGTTCTTAGAATGATGAGTGCTTTTTAGTTGTATCCTCGACATTTGGGATACTACATTATGAGACTCCGTCCTACTTAAATCTAGTGTTTTAGCAGGCCACCTCATTACAGCCTGGCAAGGGTGGCAGTCTAGGTTCCCCTCTTGGCTTTTGGCGGAAATGGGACTGAAGTTTTCCCCAAGATATTCACTGGAGTAAGATTGGTATTGTCTAAAGGTGTTTTGTTTTGCCCAGCTGGTGTGGCTCAGTGGTTGTGCGTCGACCCATGTACCAAGAGGTGACCAGTTCGATTCCTGGTCAGGGCACATGCCCAGGTTGTGGGCCCGATACCCAGTGGGGGGCATGCAGGAGGCAACTAATCGATGTTCTCTCTCATTGATGTTTCTATCTCTCTCTCCTTCTCCCTCCTCTCTCTCTAAAATCAATGAAGGAAAAAATATACATAGAGGTGTTCTGTTTTGTTAGGCTCTTCCTTTGGCTAGGGAGAACGATTTTACTTGGAGACTTGGAGACCTTTTCTTTTCTGTTCCCCATTTTTTTGTTGTTGTTACAAGCTTTTTCAGTACACAGTCCAGGATACATGAAGCAAAAAGAAAAGCCTACGGACTCACAGCATGCCCTCGGTGGGGCCCAAGAGCCCTGGCTGGTCTGACTTCTTTTCTCCACCTTTCATAGTCTGTTTGCTCTATAAATGCCCAGGGTTATTAGCTGTACTTAGGAGGAATAGAGGAAAGTGCATTGACTCCCTCTTGTCATGCACGTGCAACACAAGCACTTTCCTCAAACATTGGTACTAAGAACAATGGTCCTTTATGAGAAGTGGAATGAATTTGAAATGAGAACTCATCTTGGAAAATAGAGATGGCCCTGGTTTGAACCCTAGTGACAGTGACTAGATTCTAGGGAGGGCTTTTTTTCTTTTCTATCTCCAAGTTTAAACCCCATTGTCAGTGTGTGGGTGCAGAGATGGTTCTCAGCCCAGTAGGCATAGGAATTTGGAATGTTTTAACCTGGACACCCCTGGGAGGTGGACTCCACCCCCCCCAACCCCGCTTTCATCTTGCTCAGTCTGTGCATTTCACAGAACTGGAACAGAGTCCAAAACTCTGACCTGAGCTCTGGAAAAAAGTTTTGTCCAAACTTTTCCTCGGGTAAAATGATTGATTTTATGATTCAGGCTACTCAGAGATGCTCACTGATGTTTGTAGGTTTGCTTGAAAACTCTATTTATAACAGGAGATGAGAATCATGGGAAAACATACTTTGAGGATCATAAACAAACAAACAAACAAACAAGAAGAAGCAAAATGCTGACAGATGTCTTTGTCTTCCAAAACTAGAAGACATTTAAAAATTGAGAATAGATAACCTAAAACTATCTTAATTAAATGCACGCTGTTAAAATATGCCTTAATGACACTGACGACAGATGAAGAGAGGGGGAGACAGAGAGAGAGAGCAGTTGGGGTGAGGAGTCAGTGAGAGAGGCGTGGGGGAGGAGGGCAGGGGCGAAGCAGCCAGGCCTCCATGTCGTGGAGAGAAGGGAGGTGGAGAGCGAACGGGGGTGGCCCCCTTTGGGTGATGCAGCACCAGACCTGAAGGGCTGTTACTCCATTAATCACTACTGACAGCTTTTCTAGCTGCTCTTTTCCCTCAAGCCTCCAGCAGCTCTGAATAGTGCAGTGGTTGTCAACCAAGGATCGTTTTGTACCTCAGTGGACATTTGGCAATGTCTGCAGACATTTTTGGTTGTCACAACTAGGCCTGAGGACCACCACCATCTAGCAGGTGGAGCCCAGAGATGCCGCCAAACATTACAAGGTACAAAACAGCTCCCTATCACAATGAGTTATTCAGCACAAAATGTCAGCCTTGCCATGATGGAGAGATCCTGGAATAGTGTGACATAGTTGGAGCAATTACTCTCTGGACCATGGTAGGCAGTGATGGAAGGAACGATGTCCGTTAGGTCACAGGGCAGCAGCTCCAATGCCTCCCCCTTCACACTCTCCCCCTTTTCCAGGAGCCAAGTGCTAACGTGTGCACCTTCCCACCTCTGTTTCAGGGCACATACCAATGCAATTTCAAATTGCTGTTTTACCTTCAGCGGCCATTTCCTCTGTACAAGCTCTTGGGATAAAACTTTAAAAATATGGAACATCCATTCAGGGGAGTTTCGAAACCGTGGAGCCTGTGTAACTCTGATGCAGGGCCACGAAGGTTCTGTGAGTTCCTGCCACTTTGCCAGAGACAGTGAGTAATAAACACACAGGACTCGGCACCCGTGGGAGTGCTGGGGCAGAGTTCCTCATGTTGCATTCACCTGGACTTGCCTTAGCACAGAGAGATGATTTTCAATGCTGCTGGCAGTGAGGGTGGATTTATTTTCCACAAGAACAAAAAAGCCAAGAGGGAGAGTCACAGGTACAAGTTTGCAAGTGACGGGAACTCACCTCAATGAGGTTTAAGTAATAAAATAAATTCATTAACTCCTATAATGGGAAAGTCCAGGAGCAGGTCTCACTTCAGGTGTGGATGGGTCCAGACGCTCAGGGAGTGATGTCAGGGGAGCCAATTCTTCTACTCTGCCCCTCAGATCAGCTTCTTTGCTGTTGGTCTATCTCCCCAAGTAGGCAAAGTGGCCTCTGTTGGTTCAGGTCAACAGCCGTTCTGGCTGCTGGCAATTCCTGGAGAAAGAAGCTTCCTCTGATGGTGCCAGCACAAGTCCCATAGAAGACTCCCATTGGCTCAGCTTGGGTCACATGCCCATCTCTGAACCAATCACTTTAGCAGGGGATGCAAGGTACTGATTGGCCAGGTCTGAGTGACTTATTCACCCCCAGTTAGAAGTTAAGATCAGTACCTCTGAACTAAAGGGATTGATAATAAGTGAGGGAAACTAGGGAGCGCTTTCCAGATGAAGGGGCATGGCTGTGAGCAAAGGCAATGACAGGAAGCTGCCATGGCAGCTAACCCCAGTGAGGGAAGTGACTGCTCCTGATACCCAGGAGCCAAAGGTTACACTCATCTATCCTCATGGAGTGTGTATGGTGAGCACCCAGCCAGTACCCAACACAATCAGGGTCTGACTTGAGAAATGCAAGGGTTTTTGTGAATTACATTTTCTCTTTAGAAGCAGCCTCTGCGAAAGTCAGATCCCGCTACGAGGCACCCTGTCAGTTTCTGTCCTTGGCTTTGCTGGGTTCAGAGTTGCACACGGTCAGTCACCGCTACCTGCAGAGTCCGTATTTGTTAATTCGCCTACAGGATAAAATTTATCTGTAACCCTAAAGTCAATACCCATGGCACTTCAGTGGTCACTCGTGGAAAAATTGGAGTTACACTATGCACACATTCCAAGCTGGAGTGGAACAAGGTGACTTCTTGTTTCACCTCTCTTACCATAACGTGCATTTCCTGTGGTCTATTTAGGGCCACGTTTCGCAATCTGAGCTCTTAGTTGGTGAGTTTGCTGTGTGGACCGGCCCCCTGGCATAGTGTTGGAGGGCTACCAGCGTTCCTAAATGCAAGAAGGCTGCGAGGTGCTTTATGGGGAAAACACACACGTGAGAGAAGTTGAGTTACAGAACTGATGGCCATGAATTCAATGTTAATGAATAAACAATATATATTTCAAATACAGCGTCTTTAAACAGAAAAGACGTAAAACAAGGTTATGTATCAATCAGTTAAGGAAAAGTTGTGACCAGAGGCTCACAGGAAACTAACCCTGCATTTTCCTTAGGAGCGATGGTTCAGTATTTGCTCATTCAGTGTTTGCCATGACTTGACAGAACTTACCTACCATTAATAATGAGGATCAACTGTACTTGAGGGTGGTTGAGCCACAAGGAAGGGGTTAGAGTGTCCTCAGAGTGAGCCATGGGGCAGCTCACTAGGACAGCCCCAGCCTGCTTTGACCTCACCACAGGAGGAAGCAGCTGGCTGGGGAAGATGTCCCCTCCAGACTCTTTCATTTTGTGTTGCAGCATCTTTTCTCGTATCTGGAGGGTTCGACAAGTCCGTGTCTATCTGGGATGTAGGAGAAGGCTACCGGAAGATCTCCTTGAAGGTATCAATGCCAGCACCTGATAGAGCATCTGAGCCTCGTTCCTTAGTCATTCCATGCTGGGTGCTGGGGAGACAGCAGACCTAGATGTCCTTTGTGGGGAAGCCAAACAAATCATCAACAGTGATGAGTGAAATGGAGAAACCACAACGGGTGATGTGATAGAAACAGACTGCAGGGACTAATCCTCAGTGTGTGGCCTCATGGAGAAGGTGGCCTTCGAGTTGAGAAGCAGATGGCAAGGAAGGACTGGATGAGTGAGGGCCTCGGGGGCGGGCATTCCGGGCCGATCGAACAGCGAGTGCAGAAACTCAGAAGCGGGAAAGTGTTTAAGAACAACAGAAATCACTGTGCAGAGGGCTGAATGCCACAATGAGGCATGCACAGAAAGCTGTGGAGCTCCGAAATGGAAGGTGTCAATTGAATGCTTTTGGCTGTAAGTTAGAGATGACTCCACCCAAAGTAGCTCTACAATAAGGGAATGGATTATCCAACAGCCAGAATCCAGAGGGCAGGCCGTCCCAGGACTGGCTCCTCGGTGTCTCTGTTCCACTCTAACATTTCTACATGCTCTCCAATCCTATGGCTGCATGGCCACCTTTGGCTGGGAATGCTTGTATCCATGAGTCTTGGTCTCTCTGTTCCCTGTCATCAAATGTAGATGAGGTCTCCTTGATCACTACAACATTCAGCCCCCCATGGGCTGGTCTGTCTGGGCTCTCTTCTCCGAGGGTTTGGAGGGGCCAAGGGAGTTTACATCATAGCAAATAAATGGCTTAAAATTGAATGTGCAAATGCCCTGTGCTTAAAATTTAGTTCCTTTGTCCTCTTGTTAGTTTGTTCTACTCACTTTTCTCCCCCTCTCTCCTCTCTATTCTTCCCCCTTCAAATTCTTGTCCTTTTGTTATGCATAGTAGTTTAACCTTCTCTCTGGTTCCCTGTCCTCCTACCAAACCATGTTGCCTCACTGTCCACCTCTTTCCATAAGGGAAAGGTCAAAGAAAGATAAGGATGCTGACACAGAGCCCTTATGTCATCAAATGTCTGACACAGCAATGGTATCTATCTCTGAGCTGCATTGTATCTGAGGAAAACAATACCCCATTTGCTTAAATTTGCTGTCGCTTGAAGCCAAAAGTCCTCTCACCAGTCGAACCTCTGAGTAGTATTTCCTAGAACAAAGCAAGCAAGCAAAAACCTGTAAGAGGTGCTCTGGTACCAGCTGGGAATATAATAATTTCCCCCTCATCCTGCTGTTTTTAAAAACACACACGATATACCATGACATCCACGTGTATCACAAACCTTTACATGCCGTTTTCCACCGTAAATGTTGTTGGTGCAGCCAGGGAAGCACAATTAGTTACTCTTAAATGCGAGCAACACTGGGCTCTTCCGTTTTCTTTGTTTTTGTTGTTTTTACAAAAGCTTTTCCTTTAAGTCCTTGTTGAAATTCTATTTTTCTTCAGGGCCATGATGACTGGGTGATGGATGTTGCCATGAGCAACAACAAGAAATGGATACTGTCTGCTTCAAAGGTAAAAGTGGCCAACCTTTGAGTGACTTAAAATCCCTATTGCATTTGTGAGAATTGGTGATAACAGAAGTGCTATTATCAAGTGAACATCTTGCACAGGCTCAGTCTGAGGGCCACTCCTGGCCAGGCCATCCCTATCCAGAAAGTTGCCTGTAAGTGGAAAGCAGGTCCCTCTGTCTGCTCATGTGAGGAGTTGCCAGGCATTTCTGTGTCTACACCACTGACATTTGAGTTTTATCGGAGTAAGGGCCTGGCCAGATTGGAGAGTAATTAAAGCCAACAAGGGGCCTTGGAGGGGAAGGCATCAATCAACTTTTAGACAAGCAGCAGAGACCATCCTGAGGGTCCCGGGGTATTCCCTCTGTACCTCACTACATCCTGGGATTCCCATTTCAGTGGCACATAAAGGCTAGCCCAGATATCTGAGGGCTTCCCTCCAGGTGTGAGGATCAGAGAAGTGGGGAATCACCTTGCCCCCTACCTTTATTAGAGACATGTCATTCTCTAGGCTGAGAGTTTCTAGATCTATGAGACTGTGGATAAGACTCTTCCTACCATGACCAACTTATTTGGGAGTCAATCCAGGCTACTCCTATACCTGACAGAAAAACTATAGTAAATAACACATAATAAACATTCAATGACTGTGTTATTATCTTATTTATTTAAGATTTTAAAAATTGATTTTTACAGAGAGAGGAAGGGAGAGGGAGAGAGAAAGAGAGAAAAAACATCTATGTGAGAGAGAAACATTGATCAGTTGCCTCCTGTATGTGCCCTGACCAGGGACTGAAACTGCAACCTAGGTATGTGCCCTGATCAGGAATCAAACCTGCAACCTTTTGGTGTTTTGGACAATGCTCCAACCAACTGAGCCACCCAGCCAGGGCCCCCAACCTAGTTTTGCGAATCTGTTTCTCTGTCATTAAACACAGTTGTATAGCGTCCTTTTCAGGTGACGTCTGGGTCATACTGGCATTGGTCTTGTAATGATCCTAACTTTTACAAAACAGATCACCATATTCACAATGTTAAAAAATTCTACCAGCATGCCTGGACAGTGTGGTTTAGTGGATTGAGTGTCGTTCCAGGCACCAAGAGGTCACTGGTTCAATTCCTGATCAGATCACTTGCCCAGGTTGCAGGCTCAATGCCCAGTAGGGGGTGTGGGGTGTGCAGGAGGCAGCAATCACGTTTATGTTCTATCTCTTTCCCCTCTCCCTAAACTCAACAGTTAATCCATAGGTCGAATCAAAGGCAAACAATTAAAACTCAGAATTACAATGCAGTTAAGTTGGGATTGAATTATAATAATGGATAATCTATTATTGTGAACTGCAAACTGTGAAAAACAGTGATTGACTGCTGGAAGGTTTATCATCTATGCATATCCATTTGGCATAAAAAAATGTCTGCTTTCAGCTCCTATTATGAACTTCCATAATGGGATTATGGAAAAATGGGATTTTTTGCACTCTGAAAGCAGTTTTCTGGGACAAAGCTAGAAAGGTACTGGAGAAACTGAGACAGTTGGTCACCCTAACTCTGCTCCTCTGCAGGTCAAGGTTCTCCACAGGTAACCTGATGTGACGCCTCCCTGGGTCCACCCAGCCTAAGGAACCCACTTTGTGACTGCTGGTTTGCTGTTTCACGTTTTTTTTGTTTTTGTTTTTTTAAGGATAAGACCATGAGACTATGGAACATTGAAGAAATTGACCAAATTCCTTTGGTAATCAAGAACAAAAATGCCCTGGGCTTAAAGGTGAAACAGGTTGGTATTGGGTAAAATTAAGCCCAATAAAGGCTTTCATTAGTTACCACTATTAATTAATTTATTCTTTGAACAAACATTGATTTAGCAACTGATTTAGTAACATAAACAAACAAGCTGAAATCCTTGCCCTGAGGGAGCTTAAATTGTAAAAGGGGAGAAAAACAAAGAAATGCAAAAAATATTTAGTGAGTCACAGGGTGATAAGTAATTTAGAGAAAAATAACATAGGGAAGAGAATGAGCATCCTGGAGGTTGCTCTGTTCAAAGGGGAGACAGGATAAGTCTCACTAAGAAGGTGACACTTGTTCAAAGACTTGAAGTTGGCGAGAGCGTGAAATGTGCAGATGTTTACGGGAAGAACTTCCCTGCAGAGGGAACAGCCAGTGTGGAGACCCTGAGGCAGGAGTGAGCCTGGTATGTATTTGAGTAGTGGAGTGAGTTAGGGGGACTGGGAAATGAGGCCTAAGGGAACACTGGGCACAGAGCTGGATACTGCCTTAGTCTCCTATACTCTGGCAGCAGACCCTTTCTGTGTTTCTCTAGTGAAAGATCTTGGTGGTAGAGTGGGCACATCTTCTGCTTCACCAGGTGCAGCCAGGGCTGGCCACAGAGGTTCTCCTTGGGCAGTGGAGACTTGTGTCTGCTAGGACCATGGAGCAGACACCCAAGGAGTCTGCGCTGGGCCCTCCTGAGTCTCCCCTTGGAATCCCACAGTCACCTAGGCTTGTCTCCTCTCAGAAGTTCTGGCTGGGAGCCACTACTTCTGGGAATGACTAATTTGGGAACAGCACTGCAGGGTAGGGAAGTAAAGGGTGGGATCCACATAGACCTTGTCTTTGTGGCCAGCTGGTTCTCATAGCCACTGTGGCCATGTTGGCCCTCAGGCCCTGGGAGATGACTAGCTACAGAGCAGTGCTTGCCCATATCCTCCACTTGCCAGCAGGAGCTGCCTCTTCAGAGCCCTGTCATTCTGGGTTTGGTGTGAGAAATTATACCGTAGAATAAAGAAGGTTTAATTACAAAAACAAAAAAGGCTGGATTTTCTCAGAGGCCAGATTTCCCAGAGGGCACCCGATACAGGGTTTGCCTCATCTCTCCCGCAGGCCTTAGTGTCCTGAAATAGGCAAGGGTGGCAAAGCACAGAGGTTTGGGGTGCCAGGGCAGGGGCATGACACCTCACAGGCTTGTCTCAGGGGACTGTGTTGTGTTGGGTGGTGGGAACTCCTGAGAGACCTCTGCCTGAGAGCCTCCCGGCCCCATGTGGTGTTGCTCACTTTTCCTGCGGGAAGCAGATGTAGTGAGTGAGCTGTGTTGCCGTATCCACCGTTCTCTGTGTGCTTTGGCCAGAAACAAGCTCTGAGATAGAGGAGGATGTTCAGCACCTTCATATCTAGTAAATATTCCTGCTTTGTTCAGAAATTGTGCTTATTTACTTCTCATCGTTCTGTAAAAATGAGGTGTGCCCAGGATGTCAAGGAGTTAGGATATCCCCTTAGCCCCATAGTTCTGCTTTGCACAGAGCAGAGGATGGGGTTAGATCCCTCCACCCTGTCCTCCCCACTGTCAAATGGCTTGTCACTCCTGTCCCCAGGAACCCCTGGCAGGGGACATGAGCTGGAAGTCCTTGCATAGCTTTTTTGGGGGAAGAGAGAGAGAAATCTGTGTTCATTCTCTCTTAGTGGCCTGCAATTTCCACCCTTATATAGGTAGAGACTCCAGAGAGGAGAGGCAGCTCTCGCCTGACATAACCCAAGGTGGTTGGATTGGGTGGGAGAATTCTAACTGCGTGCTTTGATCCCCTCTGACTAGCAGCTCTTTTCTGCTCTTTTCACATATTTCATGTCAGTGCGAAGAATGTGAGAGGCCTTTTTCCACCTATGAAAGTGACTGCTTTTCTGAAATGGTCAACAGATGTATGTTCTGCCGAACACAGGAAAAAGATTTCTCAACAGAGAACTTATCAGCACCAGAAAAGGACTCACCAGCAATGGAGTGCAGCCTGGACAAGGATCACTGATGGCCACTGGGCCCTTTGAGTGACCTGAGCACAGGCCAGCTGTCATGTAGGTTTCAGGGCTCTGCAGGGACCTTTCTCTGGGGCCCTTCCCTGGCTGGCTGGGCCTGTCAGATTGGGACAGAAGCAATGCCCTTGCTGGGCTCCCACCACCGTGCCATCTTCTCAGCACCCTATTGAATGGGATTAGATACTTTGTTTTTAGTTTTCAGGTAGAATAAACCTAGATCCTTTTGGAAAACGAGTGTGTATGTGAATTCCAGAAGCATTCTTGCTATTTGTAAGCTCTACATCCTGGTGTTCATCCAGACACATCTGGATTCCCATTCTGGTTTCTGGAGTTGCCCTGAAAGGCAGACCTTGGGGGCTGGCACTAGCAGCTCCAGAGGAAGGGCTTGTGAAATGAAGATGTGTGGGGCCTCCTCTGCGGAGGAGACTGTGGGTGCCTCCCTGTCTAATGCTCCCAGGTGGCCACCTGCCCCGAGCAGAGGAAGGTCTAGTTAGACAGGCAAGTGGTGAGCATTTCCATCACAGAATATTTCATGCTTTCCACCACAGGCTTTTCAATTTCCAGAATGCCTGTTTACATGGACTGCTGTGACTTCCTGCTTCTACAGCATAATTACGTCAGAAGTGAAGGTTTCAGTTGACATTGATATTGCTCACATGTCAAATATCATTAGTATACCCCTTGGTCCATTTTAAAAACATAATTACAGGGCCGATTTATTTAGTGTCCATTGACTGGCATTCAATAATTCTGCTCAGGAGCACCATAGCCTGATAGCCATTCTTTGGGCAAGTCCTGCATTTAATGATGCCCTCCTCAGCCACAACCCTGGTGACTGCTCAGATTCGAGCTGGCTGGTCAGTAGTCATCCATTTATTTACACATGTCAAAACTGTAACAGGCTCTCTCAGTAATTCATCTCTCCTTGAAAGAGAAAGCCTTTTGCTACTGGTTTACATTTTCAGACACAAGAATATATGCATAAATGTTTTCTTCCCTCTGCTGTGGAGGATGAGTGGACTCCATACACCAACATCATCCTCATTGATGAGCACTCAGATTGTTTCTCGTTCGTTTGCTATTACTAATAATACTGGAATGAATCTTCTTGTGCATATATTTTTGCAGAAGCGTACATTCCTGTGAATGAGACTCGGCCACCAGAGGACTTGCTGGATGAATGGATTAGCTGTGTATAGTTCTGTTGTTGCAAAAAGGCCCTCTAATGTGTTGGGACAAAGTGTTTGATGTGCTGAGTGAGGAGTCCCCGACTGGGCAGTGAGAAGCCTGGGTGGGCAGGGCCTTGCCTTGCAGCAGAACCCTTCCCATGAATGGTGCTGTTGCTCCAAGGCCAGCAGCCTGGGTCCTTTGAAGCTCTCAACCCGTGTTCCGCACTCTTCCCCTCTCAGGATCCGCCGGAGGAGCGGCCCAACTGAAGCAATGGGTTTGGCCTCCACAGGCGGGCAGATGAGCCTCCAGGATGACAGGGCCGGCGATACCAATGGCCAGAGTGCGGCCGAGGTGGGCCGCCGAGGAGGGCGCCACACGGTCACCGCGGGACCACCTCGGGGTGTGCGCCCTGACCCACAGCCGGGGTGGCCGGCAGCCCGCCGCGCTGGCGGGGCGAGGATCTCCGGAGCGAGAAGGGACTCGGCCTCGCCCGACTCCTGGTGGAGTTCCTGGCGCCCACTCTGGAGCGCAGAAGGCCGGGACCGTGCGCTAGCATCCCCCAAATTAGGAAGTCCCCATGGCTCCAAGCCCAGACGCGGACACTACAGACACCGGGAAGAGAATACGGCTCAGGTCCCATCCACTGCGCTTCGCCGGAGCTCCGGTCCCACTACTTCACCACAGCCACCTGTGTGAATAAGAACCTACACCACGCATGCGCTAGGCACCGTTAAAATTTGTGCGCATGCGTGAGAGTGCTGGAACAAATAGTAATGGGAAAGAGATTCTCGCGGTACCCGTGCGGGCGGCGCCGTGGCTTAGTTGGTTAAAGCGCCTGTCTAGTAAACAGGAGATCCTGGGTTCGAATCCCAGCGGTGCCTTAACCGAGCATCTCGCTTACCTTTTGCCCATTTTCGATTTTGCTTCGCGCCTCTACCCTTCTCTCCCCCATTTCGGGGGTGTGAGGGTGATTCTGAGAAGTCATTTTGGCGGGCCCCCCTGCCTGCAGCGGGGTGGGGCCATAGCCCTGCTTAGTAGAGTCCACCCCCTCTGGTCTCAGATCTGCGGCGCGTCCTAGACTCCGGCAACTGAGCTGAGCCGACACCCCCCGAGGCCGCGCGGGGCTCCCGGGTTGTGGCGGTGCGCGAGTGGCCGTGGGGGCGAGGGCGGATATTCCCCGCGGCCTGCTCAGGGGAGGTCGAGCCCTGGTCCCCTCCGCCGGTTCCTCCGGGCAGCGGCCGACGGGACTGTGCCTTGAGCCTCTCAGGCTGCTGACTTTCTCCTGTCTCAGCCCTGCGGTCGCTGTCACTACTTCACAGATCGAAGACTGGGGCTTGGCGAGGTCAAGTGAGACCCTAAATCAGGGGCGCCGGGGAGAGCGGGGGATGGAGCCCGCCAGCGGGCCCCCCAGGCTAATCCAAGTGTTGCACACTCCAGGGAGGGAACGGATCACGCAGCAGTCCGGGTTTGCAGCCAGCTTCTCCCGAGGCCCGGGCTGCGTGGAAGCACACGGTCGGGGGGCCTGACCCAGAGCAGTTGCGTGGAAGTCTCTGTGATGGCGCGGTGAGGCATTGGAACAACAAAAATAGGGACCCAGGAATGCCCATGTCCGACGCAACAAAATGCATGTCAGTCCCAACAGGCCTCTTTCAACAAGCTGCAGAAATTGCAGTTATGACATCAGTGTGAGTCCCCAATAGTCAAGTTCACCTGCCCCAGAGGCAGCTCTTCTTTATGTTGCTCCCGTGGGGCTGGGTTTATTATCTGTCTTTTAAATTTTGTTTTGGGGTCAATTTCTTGCCCTTTGCAGCTTGGTTGTTTTTGATTGACATTGCAAAGAAAAACTCGGAGGTTTTGCAGTTCTGATAGGAACATCAGAGATGAGTTTATTGGTAACAGGGCTTGAGTCATTGTGGGGCAGGTATTTTTCTGACACATCTTTACTGCTAGCCTGAGGTATAGCAGGTCAGTTTTGAGCATTTGCCTATTTGGTGGCCAAGGGAAGGTGTTTAATTTCGTTCAAAATTTAAAAAATATTATCACTATTTTCTTCTGTTTGATGGTACTGTAAATGGAATTGCTTTCTTAATGAAATTTTTGGATTGTTCATTGCAAATGCATAGAAATACAATTGATTTTGTGTTTTAATCTTATATCCTGCAACCTTGCTGAACTTGTTTATTAGTTCTAATAGGTTATTATTTTTTAAATTGTGACTTTAAAAAATATGTTTTTATTGACTTTGAGCCACACCAACCAGGCTCTAAGACCACTTCTTAAGTCTCCCTGGTGGAGAATAATTGAGAGGGAGAGAAAGCAAGCAAGCAAGTGAGCGAGAGAGAGAGAGAGAGAGAGAGAGAGAGAGAGAAATGGAAAAAAGGATGCAGGCAACAGAATGCAATGTTTTATTTACATATTTATGATTACCTATGGATGGCTAGAGATCTGGATATACATTCAAGGTAATGATACAAACTTTCCTTTTGAAGTAGGACTACTTAAATAAAATAAAAATGAGTTGATTTTAATACAATCACTAACTCTATAATATAAAGGTTCGCTGCCCACCATGGTGGAGGAGGGTGATGTGGTGGGTGGGTAGTGGTGCACTACTCCTGGGCTGGGACCACATGTCCCCCATGGAGTCCTAGGAGCTCTAACAGGGACAGGCAGCCTCACTAGGATCCACCTTAGCAGGCTGCTTTCATCTGCCACCCGTGGTCCTTGAAATGTGAAGGCTCGTCCCAGTGGCTTTCCTAACCATCCCTCCAGCCTTGGGTGTCCCAGACCTGCATGTGTGTCTCTGGACTCAGGCTAATCTCAACCTATCATTTTTATTCCTGTGGCAGCAACAGGGTTAAGAAACAAACCGTATCTGTTAATCTACCTCGGGCTTCTGACGTGCTTTGCTCCATTAATAATTTAGTGAGGTGGACTGAATCGGATTGATTTTTCTCCCGAATCAATACACAAATGATTATTGTTACAGGGTACTTCTGAGTGCTTCAGCAAGGCTGAGGGGAGCTTTTGATTGGAACTGCACTCATCATCCAAAATTACTGTGGAGAGCGTTCTGTAAACCAAGGGGGTGACCTGGTGCTAACATTTTTATTGCAATGAAAGCCTTTTTCTTGTTTTGAATGGTGCTTTTACGACACATATACTATCACTGTTCCAGGCTTATAATTTTTAAATTACTACTTAATACTGAAGGTGAAATGATTTTACTGCCGCTGGTCTATTAAAATTGTGAGAACCAGCAATGGCTTGGAGCGTGTCTATGGCTGGATGTGCGTGGCCACACGGGGCCCATCACCATGGATATATCTGCAGATGAGGCATGGCTGGATCCGTGGGTGGTGGTGGGAGAGGGGTGGAGGGTGGAGGTGGTGGTGCCTGGGCCTCTCACAAGGTGGAGCAAGCGCTGAGCATCAAGCCTTGTCCCGCTTCCCCCAAAGAACAGGGCTCTAGGAAGGCAGGGACCCTACGAAGCCACCCTAAACCCAAAGCAGCAACCCAGACTGGCTGCTTCCTCCCTCAGAGCTCAGGTAGAAATGTTGAGACAACCCTGAATTTTACCAGTTTATTTTTACTGTATTTTTATTGTGGTAAAATATATATAACATAAAAATTACCATTTTAACCATTTTTAAGTGTGTGGTTCCACCACACTAGGTACATTCACATTGTTATGCAACCATCACCACCATCTGTCTCCAGAACTCTTTTTTCCCCCCAAAATGAAACTGTACCCATTAAACATGAACTCCCTAATCACCCTTCCCTCCAGCCCCTGGTGCTACCCTTTTAAGTTCTGTCTATG